GATTTTATATGGTAACTTGCTATTTCTCTTGGAGTTTCTAAGGAAGTATCTCGTTCGTGTGCTCCTACTACTGGCTTGTGCTGGTAAGGAGCAACAAAGATTTAGAATATTTTGTTGCTGTTTCCTGGATAAGGGAATTCTGTCAGCCAAATTGGAATATCTGATGGCAGATAGCAGTAACAAGTGTAAAAATATGTATCTTTTACATATATCTTTATGTAATGGCATATTATTGTGTGTGTGTGTTTTTTTTTTTTTTTCCTTCCTCCACTTCTTCCCCCTTCCCCCCACAATTATTGCAGAAATTGAAATGCTCTGTATACATAATGTTGAAGCAAAGCTAATTCAGTTTGTGTTGACATGGCATTCAAATCCTTCCCCCTCCCCGTCCCCCTTCTTAGGCACATGTTTGGAAAATGGTTCCATATGAGTATATATATGTATGTATGTCTTCATTAGGGTAGGCCTTATGTGGCTATATTTCTTTGGTTTTTATTTAGTGTATTTGCTGGAGAGTTAGGGAAGTGTCTATACCTCAGTGAATATTATGCAGCTGAGAAAGGAAGGATTTGTTTAAAAGAAAAAAAAATGTTACATATTTAGAAGCACAGACAAGGTTATATGAGGTTTTCGCTGTTAAAAATAGTAAGTTTGTGAGATGGTAGAGGGTCTCCAGGGAAGTCTGCAAGTATTAGGAAGGGCCAGTCCACTGCTTACACTTTCTTTCCTGTAATAGCAATAGCCTAGAAACAAAAAAGGGTACTGTGACCCTGGGGGCTTTAAAAAGGCTCTTTTCAGATACCTGGAGATAACATCGCTCTATGATGGTGCTCTATGTTGGTTCGGGGTTGACTTGCCTCACTATCTTCCTGCTGCCCAGCAGATCAGATTTTTCTTGAAATCATGCTAGAATCTGAAATGGGGTAACACTGGGGGGCTGAATCACCTCCTCTCTCATGGAAATGACCCTTAATCTCCACAGTAGCCACTTTTTCTCTCCCTCTTCTCCTGCCATCCCTGGCCAGCGTTCGCTGATGCTTTGCAAACATTAGTTTGAGGTGAACACAGGAATGCATCTTAGCAGTCACAAGTTCAACCATAATTTGCTATTGAATTACACTAATAACAAACTCTCAGTGCTCATAGCTAGTGTTTTGAATCTTAATGTTTAAGTCGCTGGGCTTCAGAATCTTGTATCGGTGGTTTTAAAGCGTGCTGTGGTTGCAAAAGCATAGGATTTTAGCAAGAGTAGTTACTCTGATGCTCTCTGGTAGCGTACCAGCGCCATTGGCAGCTCGGAGCAGCCCAGCAGAGGACAATCTCGTAGCTGGAGGCTCTGGCTCAGTGCACTTACCCTGGCATGACTGCTACCTCTAAAGAAGTTTTGCCAATAGGAGTGGACTCAAAGTGAGGGGTGTTGGAGCGTGGGCTGGCAGAGCAGCCTCATGTGAGCGAGTGCTGGGGTCCAGGGCAGTGCTCTGGTGGCAGCTGTTGCTGTTACTGCTGTGCGTGTGCAGGTCACAGATGGCCAGTGCCAGTGTGTGTGCAGCCTTGTGAGAAGGTGACTACCTGCAGTGAGGAGAACGTGCTACTCTTAAAGTGTGTTACTGCTCTTGCTTGACTAAGGACTCATCCATTTTGTTGCCTTGACAGGGGAGACAGTAAAGCACCAGCAGCGTGTGAAGCACCTGACAGATAGATGAGAAGAAACAGCGGAGGAGTTAGATCTGTTTCTCCTGTGGGAAAATAAGGTTTATCTCCTCGTAAGGGATGGTTTTACTTGGCTGCCTACCAGTAAGCTTCCTCCGTATGCAGACAAGTTGTTTGTGAATCGTTTGAGTCAAAAGTATTTCTGTAGCTAAGGAAGGGTAAAATATAGGATTTTGAAGGAAGAGCAGCTTTAGTTTGGTTCTGGAGTTCTGTTTCGTGAATCCTGCAGCTGTCTTAGGGAGGATCTAGTTAGTTGATGGGGCTAATGCAACTGAGTGTCTGATGCTAGTTGGAAAGCATAAAAAGAGGCGCGTGGGTGTGTTTGCTGTTTTGCACTGTGTGTATGTTTTTATTTTCCCTTTTTTAAGCTGTTCCTGATGGTAGAATCTAAGTGTGGTTGTTTAGCTAAAGAACTTTGTGCGTGTCTTCTGGGTTGTATTTATATGCTGTGTAATGCAGCCTCTAGTCTTGCACTGCATGCTGCAGTATGACTTTGTATTCTTCTTTTGTGTAGGAGGCCTTTTTCCTCCTTTTTCCATCTTAAACATTCAAAAAATAGTCATATACTGCAACCACTGCAGCTTGGTTGCTAACTTTGCAATGCAGAGCATTAAAGTCATGCTCAAAATTTCCTGTCTTCTAGAAGGCAGAATCTCCTGAATCGCTAGTGGGGCCACATCCTCTTTTTCATCATGCAAGATATCTGACACTCTTGTGTTGTGGCCCGCACTGTAGAAACAGGGCATATTTCCTTCCTAGTTTATAGCAATCTAACTGTGAAAGTTCCTCAGTGAGAGAACAGTTAAGTTGAACAGACCAAGGTAGATGGAAACACTACTTAGCTTGAGTGCAAGGGGCAGTGCTGGTGCTATAATATTTAATGAAATATAACTATGTGAGGCGTCAGCTGGATTTCACTGTGCTGGCCTTTAGCCTGTGATTCTATAGTGTGGCTTAGTGAAAAGTAATTATTCAATTGTACACACACCGAGCAAGATGTTATGTTTAAAGGAAAAAAAGAAAACGCTAAAACCAACAGTAGATCTGAAACTCCCTGGATTTTAGCTACATAAAGCTGTTAAGATTTTTCTTTAAAGTAAATACATTTTAACATGAGTATTGAGGAAAAAAATAGGTAATGCTATACTTCAGTTATTTGTGAAGAAACTATGCGTTTAACTGGTGATTCAGTGAAAGAAGTTGGATTATTAATTTCGGTTTAATGTGAAAGTTGGACATCTTGAGAAGTTCATTTACTGAAAAGATAAGTAGAATTAGCAAGTTACCTCAGTCTTTCTCACAGAACTTAATAAAACTTTTGCCCTCTTGCTGAGGCAAGAACTGAGCTGAGCTGCTCAGCCATATAGTCTAATTTTAGACACTTAAATTTGAAGAACTTGCTTAAGCAAATAACTTTCTGTGAACTTGTAATTCTTATGCCGATAGGTTTGCATATGACTTCTGCTTTCAGGGTAGTTTCAGTCAGTTTCACTGAATTTCCTGGCAAAGTACAGTGAGTTTGTTTTCAAAGTGCTTCAAATATCAAGGATTTTTAAAACTTTATAAATTGAAAGTGGCCTAAAATGTACTGATCAATTTTCTAAATAGTGCCCATGTTTTAATTTGTGGTTTTTAAAAGTGAAAACAAGTTTTTTTAGAGAGGAACAGAACTGAACTCTTTTTATAGGTGTGGTGTGAATTTAGACAAAGGTGAATTTGCAAAGATCAAGTCACAACAAGTATGTATATTTTTCCATGTAATCTGCCTAACTGGAAGTTCAAAGTGCTAAATGTTCTTTTTAAAAATTCAGCAATGACTGTAAAGGTTAAGATCTTTTTAACCTTTGTTGCAACAGTTTTTTTTTCATCCCCTGTTTTGATGGAAAATAATTCAATTTACAGTTAGCATTCCTGGAATAGTCACAGAGAGTAGGGAGTATTAAAGAAAACTACTAGCCTTCTCTAATTACATGTCAGTGACTTGCATTCCTAAGGGCATTCTCAACCAAGATTATAATTAATGCCAGGTAACAAATGTAAGCAATAAAGCTAAGTCTTATCGTTGTTTTGTTAGTAATTTGTTAACTCTGTACTGCTTTCCTGGAAAGCTTCCCTCAACCTCTTTTTCTGGAAACTTTCTTCTCATATACATAACCACACAATTTTATGTAGCTATGAGATATCAAAGCACTGTATGTTATTATTTTTTTTTAAGATGGTATCACATAAACACAGGGCTGCTTAACCTGAGTGTTTTAACTAACACAGTTATATTGCCGTGCCTAGTATTTCTACTGTTTAGTATGTGTTTGGTATAATGTCCTTGATTTCACAGAGAAAAACATGGTTAGATATTAATTAGAAATATTTGTGGGCAACAATGGTAGTTAGCACATACTTAAATAAAAAGTTTGAGCAGCCTTTTTTTTTTTTTTTTTTTAAAGTGGCCCTTTTGCCCCGGATTTTTTTTTTTTTTTTTTTTTTCCTCTATGCTTACAAGTTTTGACTGAATGAGGCTTGACAAGTAAGGCTTTGGCAAAAAGACTGACTTGAGTTTCTGTCAGCCTGTGTGATGTGGATATGAGACTGGTGCCAATTTTTCGTTTAAGACTGAGCCACTGAACCCTGGCGCTATTGCCTTAGTAATGGTAGCTGTCCTCTGCAAGCACAATAGAAACGTTTTCCTTTAGCTTCTGCCACTGTTACTTGCATAGTGTTGAGCTGGTGAAAAAAGAAGGATCTGGAAGGAGGGGCAAAGATAATATAGAGGAAAAAATGCTGGAAGCTAACAGAAAGATAGGTTAAAGCAAGAGAGAAAAATGAATCTGGGCTGGGGAATTCAGTTTAAGAAATCTAATGGTCAGATAGAAATTGTAATGAGAATAGGTCCCTGTAAAGGAAAGGGAAGGAAAACTATACAGAGACACAAGGTCGTCTGAGAGATGAACAAGTGAGGGTGAACAAGTTTAGGGAGGTACATGAGTGTTTTAAAAGGTGTAATAATATGTACATAAACTTGCACAGGAAGGGCCAGACTTAGTTTGTGTGCACCACTATAAACACTGGTCTCATCTAAAATTCAGTTCCTTAACTTTGCACACTAAATTTTACCCTAAGATGAGTTTGCATATAGCCTTTAAGTTGTGTGACAGTACCAAAATTACTGCAATTTCCAGAGGCAAGTCTTTATATTAAAACTGACTTAATTGTGTTTGTAGCTTAAAAGAGATTGTATCATGACAGTTTTCCAGAATACTGACTAAATGCTTCTTGCTTCTTTTAGGCGGGGCCTGAATCCACCCCACAGAGTGAAGTCGATTTCAATGACTACTTTCACACAACAGGAAATAGAATTTCTGCAGAAACATGGAAATGAAGTAAGTATTAAATGAAAAGTATCAAGTGTGTGGCAGCATTTTAATATCAAACTTTGAAATACTACTTACCCCATTTTTTTTTCCCTAGCAAGGCGTAGACAGAAGCCACCAGTCTTTTGAAGCGATCATTTTAATGTTCTCATTTCACTTAGGCTGATGTCATCATAGTATTTCTTGTGTGTTGTTTTCACAGCCTAGACTATCTAGATTCATATGATCAGTGCTTCTGAGCTGGGTCGCATTTTGCTTTTGCACAAGGCAAGCAGTGCGCATCTGCCTGTATAGTGGCTGCAGCAGTGCTGCCTGAAAGATTGTTCTGTGACTAAAGGAAACTTCTTGCCTGTAGCTGTATTTTTACAGAGTAGGTGTCAGAAAGTCACTAGCCTCTTTCTTTGAAGAATATATGTCACTTTGCTTAAGGTCCTTGAAAAGAGGAAGGAGGGAAATTAGGAGCAACTGTAAGTTTAGAGTAGCTTGGGGCAGCTTTGAAGAAGCAAGTGCCTGTGTGTGTGTGTTGTGAGCATTCCCCCCCCCACCACCCGGGGGAAAAGGAAAGCCCCGGTAAATCTCTGACATACAGAGTATGCCAACTCTGCATGTGGCTATTGCACTCCTCAATTTGAGGATGAAATAGTTTAAAAAAAACTGATAGCGGATAGTTCCTTCATTTTGAACTTCAGATCTGTACAGAAAAAAGAATCTTATTTAGATGTCAATTTCTCCTGATTCTGCAATAGTTAAGAAATACAACCAGCTTGCCTTACTGTTGCTTGAAAACTTGAATTATCCCTGCTCAGTCAATAAGTCTGTTTCTCCTTCTGGTTATAGTCCTGACTCTGCCAGCATCAGAAGTGATGTAGTTTATGTATCATTTATTATCAACGTAAAAACATGTAACAGATATTTAGAATGGTATACTGTGCTTTGGTAGCAGGGGTCTTGGTGGTGTTATTCTTACTCGTCCAATTAATGGACTGGAATGGTTTGAGTGAGCTACCTCATAAATAAGATGTTCTCCTAAATCAATTTGGGGATATTTGGCATCATAGAATCACTAGGGTTGGAAAAGACCTTCAAGATCATCAACTTCAACCATCAACCCATGGTCTATTAAACCATGTCTCTAAGTGCCTCATTTACACATTTTTTGGACAATGCCCGAGACCGTGACTCCAACACTTTCCTGGGCAGCCTGTTCCAGTGAGTGCATTGCCTTAATTCTAAAGTAATATTGAATCAATATTTGTAGTTGCAAATGATAGATGTCACAGTTCCTCATAAACTGAACAAAAGTGGGGCAATCTTCGCTGTATTTGGGGACATTTATAGCTTGGTGTTGCTTAAATCTGTGCCAGGTGTGGGCTTTGTCCAGATTCCACTTTTGCTGACTTTGGGGTTAGCTCACTTTTGTGGAAAGAAATGGCAACTTGTTCAAGCTGCTACTTTAAGCAGCTTCTGGGCTTCCTTTTGAAGGATAAAAGTGTGTTTGTTTTGTTGTTGTTGTTTGTTTTGTTTTGTTTTGTTTTGTGTATGTGGTTGGTTTGAGCGATAGGATTTCTACCCATCCCCCTATCTCTTCAGAGAATGATGCTGAAGTATTTCTTTGCTGTATTTACATGATAGAAATAAAGAGGAGAGGCAGGAGGAAATGAGTGCTCAAGAGTCCTGATGGTACGACCTGTGCAGTGGTGCCACAGTGGTCTGCGCTACTAATAGCGCAGACACACGGGAGCTGATTGTGGCTCTTCGTTCGGCAGGATTTGCTAGCTTGGCTCTGTGCTTATGAAAGCAGCTATGGCTTCAGGACCAAAACTGACATGGAGATAGGTATGCTGGAAGTATAAAACTTTTTTTCACCTACAGAGATTGATGAATAATACTGACATCAGAAGCTCTGAGTTGCTAAACAAAGCTATGGCTTGCTTATATAGCAGAGCTATTTCCAAATCTTTCTTCCTGTGGTGGTATTATGTTTTGGAAAAGTTTTGTTGTGTGGCAATCTGCAGTTTTTACCCTGGGGTTACTTTTGGTGTGAAACTGAGAATATGGAGGGAGTAGGGAGGACAGGAGCAACAAAGAAATCTAATCTGACATTTACCAGACTCCTTAAAGGTAATATCTCATTAGAGCTTTTTAAACTAGAGATTGGCCTGTACAATCTTCCTATGCATTGGATACACAGTGGAATGTTCAGGTCTAAGCAAGAAATGAAAGTTCCACAGGAACTTAAGGAAAATATATTAGCAGTGAGGGTGACGGAGCACGAGAACAAGCTGCCCAGAGTGGTTGTAGAGTCTCTGTCTCTGGAGATCTCCAAGGGCTGCTTGGACGCAGCCCTGTGCCATGTGCTCTGGGTGACCCTGTGTGTGCAGGGGGGGTTGGACTAGATGTTCCCTAGAGGTCCCTTCCAACCTTAACGATTCTATGATTCTATGATCTACTGCTGTAGGTCTAGTAGCTTTTCCAAGTCTATTATAGCTTTTACCAGCAGGCTTGTCCTATATTACTTTCTTTTCCTAGCTTAAAAAGCAAAACCGTTCTTAGCTTTCCTTTCCTCCACTATCTTTGCTGTGTACCGGAGAACAAGGCTTCATGAGCCAAAGCTTTAGTTTGGTGGCCTCACTGAATCCATGTTATTCCTACCCAGTAGACCTGTGTTAACAGGAGTTTCTAGCAGGCTGACTTAGTGCGTTGCAGGCAGCCTTTGGCTCTCCATAGCTGCTCCCCACAGACGTACCGAAATGTGCATCAGCGAAATAGTTCTGACATGGCTAACTGTTGTTTGGTGTTTTAAATATGTAGCACCGGAATAGAGGCAGCTGCCATCTCAGATTATTTCAGGCTTCCTGCAAAACTGGACAGATGCCACAGGATTCTTTTTCTTTACTAGTGTCTGCATGTGCTTTTTCTTTTTTTTTTCTTTAGTGATCCTTTACTTCCCTGCCGAATCACTAGAAAGAAAACCGAAAGCCATAAAACTATGGAAAACAGTAAAATCTGTTTCTCTCATCCTTTGACCCCTGCCTGGAACTCCTGGAAGCACCAAATGCTATTAAGAGGGAGGATTTTAAACCTGAAACTTTTCATGCATGTGTGTTTGTATACAGGATGCGTAGTGGATGGGATGAGTTCTTAATTCCCTAATGGCAAAGTTGAAAACGAAAGTAGTTGCTCATACTGTAGGACTACAAAGCTAGATGATGTTTGGAAAAAAAGAATTGGTAAATGCAATTCTAGCAAAAAAGAAAAATCTCAACATAACTCACTGTTGAGTGTGGGTTCAGGGATTAGTATGTGGATTTCCTCATACTAATGATATGAGGGAAAATGTATATAAAGACTTTGTTATAACATAGTGTATGACTTGGCCCAATTTTTCCTTTCCCCAATGTATTAAGTTACGATAACTCAGTGTTTCTGCCTTTTTACCTTTCTGGATTTTTATCTGTGTCAGGGTGAGTAGGCTGAAGGGAGTTGTGATTCTGTGTTTCATGCTGTGCTTGCCTGAATGTGAACTGCCCAGTAGCTATTTGGGAAATATCTGTTGATGTCCCTTGCAGGGTTGTAGCCTGTTGGCAGGAAACAGGTGCTGTTCCTCCCAAAACCAATTGTAAAATGATTCTCATGAGCTTTATTAATTTCACAGGGATAAATAAAGCTTAATCTTGCTTATTATTGTCAGCTGACTTAGGCAAAACTTTGTTTTATCTTGTTATTTAACAGCTTCTGCAAAAGAAGTCGGAGCAGGCAGAAGTTTTGCTCCTCTTAACCTTTTTGCAAAAGTAGACTTTAAATACTGCATACTCTTAAATCATTCTGACATAAATGCTCTCTTTGGTGGTCCTGTTTTATTTATTTCTTTTTTCCTTCATTGGTGAACCAGTGGGGTATGGACTAATTATACTATTCAGGGACAGTTGACAATGATTATGGATTGTTGGATATGTTCCACTGTTTCTAGGGGCTCCGACATAACTCGAATGTTTACTCTTGGCTCCAGCAAAGCCAGGCTCTTCTCCCCTAAGCAGAGTATTTTATTTTAGTAGAGCTTTGGTTATCAAAAGGGATACTGTAGCAAGACTTTGAGTGAGTGAACAGGGCTTTTGAGCCAGAAGCTTATTTGTGCTGCTTTGGCAAAAGCAACAATATTAATATTAAATGACTGAATCGGAATATGACCAAAGAGATGGTGAGAAGGTTGAAGAATTTATTTTTTAGCTGTATGATGAGATAGGATGCTGCTTTATGCATCATTTATAAAAACTAAGGAGTGACTAATTCTGTTACAGGGGAGCCCAAGATGAAACTGGGGTGATAGCATTATCTGAATCAGTCCTGCAAGTCTAATTAATAAACAGAATCATTACGGAGCAAAGAGGGGAGTTTAAATTCCGCATTGTTTGGCCTGTTGGATCCAAAATTCTCACAGCATAGGTTGTTCAGGATTATTATTATTTTTTTTTTATGTCTTGTGCTTTTATCCCCGTTGTCCCATAAGTAATAGCTGAGCATAAGTCAGCACATGCTGTGAATGACTGTATATTTGCTTGTTCAGGAGTCAGACCAGAGAGAACATAAGGCTGAAGCTCATGCTAAAGTACTCTCTTCACTGAAGTTCCTAGTCTGGTGTTCTTGTTTTTCACTGACTTTTTCGTGCAATTAATCTCTTGATATCTTGTGTTCTCTCAAATCCATGTAGGGGTTTTAAAGCTATGATGTGTGGAGAGTGACTTAAAGCAAGGATCCTAATGCCAAAGGTTTAAATGCTATACAAACTTTCCCCATTAGAAATCACTGGAAATTGTATGACACAAAAAACCAAAATTTTGATGTTCATATCATAAAAGTAAATTTTAAATGTCTTTCAAAAAAAAAAAAAAGGTGATGGTCTAGTCAGCAAGGTTTTTACATTTCATCATTACACTCAGAGAACAAACTTTCCATTGGACAAGATTCAGTCGCATTAGTGAATTCTTATTTTAAGGCTGTGGAAAGGTAATTGTTTTATAGTTCAAATGCATATAATCATGCAATTTTTGTCTCTAACCATAAGTAGTATTTTCCTGTATTTGAGTTTCTGACTTTGATTTCATCCCATGATATCCCACGTGCTGACAAGCACAGTGCACTGCTGTTTGCTTGGGGGTGGGTGATGGCAGAAAAATTGGATATTATGGCTGGCTCGAGGCCTAATCAATGCAGTGCTGGAGCTGCCTGTCAAGTCAGCTGCTAGAACAGAAGTGCAGCCCGCAAGAGCGGCCAGGTCAGCAGCAAAGCAGCAGGACAATGAGCCTTTTGCTGCCTGCTGAATGCTGCTGGGAGCCGCTGCCGCTGTTCAAAGCGTTGGGTGGTACCCTGCAGACACAGACAAAACTGTGCCCTTTATTAGTTTCTCTTGGGATATTAAAGCTTTATAAAAGCTGCCTTTCTGAACAGCTTGTCTGTAGTTAAGACTTCTAAGAAATTGTACTTATGAGAACTCTTTATATAAAGAAACTTGCATGAAATTTAATTTGCATCTCTACGTTTGCAGTTTGCATGTCTAAGGTAGTAAGTGTTTTAAGGAGTGTTTGCATAGCTACTGCTGTCAAATGCTGCTTATTAAAATGAGAGCTTATTGCTGAGATGTGTGGAACTAAGTTCTCTTTTGGCAGCCGTGTGTTGTCATGGAGCCACCCTTGCCTTTTAGCGATGCTCTGCTTCCAGTTACAGAGAATCAATAAGGAGTGCTTGGCAGATTAATTAAACATCACTGCTGTAATAGTGATTTAAGGCCTGTTTCACACTTACACTACTGTTGTGCTTAGGAATTTAAATGAAATTGGTGGCTCCAAGAAACACCCCTGGAAGGTTACTTTGGAACATTTAATGTTCAGAGATTTGATTCCTTTATTTAAAAAAAAAAAAAAAAAAAAAAAAAAAAAAAAAAAGCTTGCATGGAGCACCATTTTAAACACTGTGCCTGGACAGCTACCATCTTCCCTTGTACCTGTGAACACACTCTCAGAACTGTTACCTACCCGACCTGTGTAGCTGCTGTAGATGTAGAGTCTCCCAGGCTCCAATTTGCCGGTTTTGCCTAGAGACTGCTGGCGTGGCCAGGCAGAGCCATGACTATTTGAGAAGATTTCTTGTCCAAATCTTTCTACCATTCCCCTCCCCGCTCCCCATCATTGCCCCTGGAAAGCAGAACGGCTCCGCTTTGTGTCAGCTGGAGATGAAGCGAGGAATGGGACGGGGAAAAAGGTAAAAAACTGAGCTGTGGGCTGATCTCTGTGCTGGTTTTAGTGCTGCTGGTAGCAAGGTAATTGAAAAGAGTTTCTTTGATCTGACTTGCAGTTTTCTGTGATAGAAGGAAAGGGAAAGAATGTAATGGCCTGACATGGGTGGAAAAGGGGACCTCCCTCCCAGGTGCCAGTCTGTGTTTAGGCCAGATGGACACTGATCATCAGGGTTCAGCTCAGTGTGTTTTTGCAGGTGCTAGTTGTTCTAACGTGGTCCTTCTGTCTGTCTTAATCTGTGCAAAACTGCTGCCTGCCTTCAGTGCTTCTGCTGTTCCTCCCAGCGTGTTCAGGTCCGAAGGGGAGAGTTGCGCAGACTTGGCCGCTCCTGCCAGCTCCGGCCACCCGATGTTCTGTAATCAGCTGCAGACAGGACCTCTTTGCTCCCCAGGTCACGGCTATCGTGTGCAGGCCACTTTGTACAGTTACACATCAGAAAGGGCGGCCAGTACAGATCTTGCTGCCTCTGCAGAGAGAATCAAGGGAATTATGCTGAGGAAATCCCTGGCAAAGGATTGGAAGAAGTCTCCTGCTTTTGCTGAAAAATCACACATAGGTGTAGAGAGTCCAATATACTGCTACAGCCCTTCACATTCTTGCAGTGTCTGCCACCTAATTTTGAATATGGAAATATGGCTGACATGCGGATAACATGAAGGATTGTTTCACTTTGTTAAAACAGTGCTTGTGCTTTTAGCTACTTGGGTATGAGGGGCTTGTGACATTTTTGACCGAGTTCTTCACTTCTAACTTCATGTGAATTTGGTAAATTGTGCCATAGATGGTTTTTTTTTTTTTTATTTCTTCCATTATTAGACAACAAGTTATGACTTTAAATATATAAACTGAAATGGATGCACAAGAATTACCTCTTCTGCAATACATTTGCTGAATAACTGTTGGATAGCTCAGAGGCTTAGTTAAACCGAACACTGCTAGTCTGACCTTTAGATGAGTATCTAAATTACTAATTAATAACTACCTTTTGATCATAGCATTGGTTTCTCACTCTCATTGTCAGCTTCTATCCAGCATCTTAAAACAGGAACTGCTAAATGCTGTTTATGTGAAACTGAGACATAAGAAAACATAAAATATGCTGTTTGTCTAATCTTTCTGTTGCTCGGAGTCATCTTTGAAATGATCTACCAGATTTATCAGAATTGACAGTCAGAGCTGGCACTATTGCAGGGGTAAAGCCAAATGTTTGCAGGAGTTTTAAAGAGGGAGGGGTCAGGACTATTTCAGAAAAGGCTGCAGGAGGAAAAAAGATGTTCTTCTCAAAGAAACCTGTTTTAAAGCAGTGAAGTCCCTTTTTAAAAGGCACCTCATACTTGGCATATTGTTTTGATGGATTTTTTCAGGCTACTTGCAGAGAAAATACTAAGACCTTGAAGAAAACCTGATGTTAATTATTCCAATATCTGCTTTGTGTCTTGTTTGGCTTTGAAAAAAGCTACCTTTCCTCTCATCCTGGTCAGGAATCAAAGGTGTCCATACATAATCCATATTGAGCATCTTGCAACTTTGCTGGTTCAAGTTTTGGTGATTCAGAGCTACGACTAGGAAATGAAAGACCACCAAAAAGGTTTCTTCCCTCCCTTCTCTCCTACCACTGCTCACATTAAAAGTATATAAAATGATATCAAATATATCAAAATTATATATTCAGTTTAGGGATTGCATCACACTAAGTAAAGTATTTGTTTTTAATTCATATATTCAAATAGTGGTTATAAATACTAAAACTTGAGAGTATTTTGAAAGTTGGCATCTGGGATATAGTAAACTGGTAAAGGGGCTCTGGGGAAACGGTTTAAACTCTCAAATAGAGGTAACTGTATGGAATTGGGCGAAGGCTTCTAAAAATTACAAGTGGAATTCACATGCTTTGCTCCTTCCAGGATATGTATTATAAATTTTTTGAAGGGGCACTATTTGACAGTGAAGCTGGATGATAGGATTTGCTTGGACTGTAGTGACAAGTGGTCTCCCAGCTTTAATCATTTCAGATAGAGCTAGTGCACCCTATACTGATCCAAACAGTTCATGTGCAGCATACATTTTTATGATTTGATGCATTAACTGTTTATTTATTTAATTTAAATAAGCTTTTACTTATGATGTCTGAATAATATATATATGTATTTTTTTTAATATAAGGTGTGCAAACAGATTTGGCTAGGACTATTTGATGACAGATCATCAGCAATTCCAGACTTCAGGGATCCACAGAAAGTAAAGGAATTTCTACAGGAAAAATATGAAAAGAAAAGATGGTAAGATAGCTCTAAAGTTTTTCTGATTTTAAGAACTGTTTTTTATAGAGATTATTTCTCTGATCAGGAGTAAAAATTAACTAATGTTTTTCTTAAAATCTTAAATGTACTCTCCCTTTTGTGTGGCCTTTTACCTCGATCACATAGCTATATAAAGTAAAGAGACTTCTGAATAAAGTCCATAAATCACACAGGAAGTGGAGAAGGTAAACTATTTCAAGGATTTCTCAATGTGTATCTTATCTTGATGGATCAGAAGTCATTTAAGGTGGCGTTGGCAACAGCATAAAGCAAATTTTGCAGACTGTTATTACGAAGTAAAGATGCATGTGGTCTTAAAGGGCTATAGAATTTTGAAGGTTTGGAATTCTAACCCATTTTAAAGAATATATCTGACATATTTAAATCCTAGCTATTTCACAGACTACTGATAGAATTTATTGCTGGACTAGTGGTTAAAATGGCAAAGCTGAGATCTCCAAGCAATTTTCACATGTAGATGTTGGACAAAAATTTTCATGTTAAACTTACAAAAACAATTCCTCTTGTTCAATGTAGGTATGTTCCTCCAGAGCAAGCAAAGGTGGTGGCATCTGTCCATGCCTCCATATCGGGGTCTTCTGCTAGTAGTACAAGCAGCACACCTGAGGTGAAGCCACTTAAATCTCTTTTGGGAGAAGCTGCACCAGCACTGCACTTAAACAAGGGCACACCTAGTCAAGTGAGTAAACAGTGACAGAGCCAAAGAGGACAGAACTGTTCAGCTGTATCTTTCTGTTGTTAGTAGGATGAGAAATTTTGCAATAGCAACTGCTACCTAAAAATATGAATATCACTCCAAGTAACTTTATGTATTGAAGATCAGGCCCTAAGTTAAGTTTATTTGAGAAGTAGCTACCTCGTTATTGACCACATGGAATTTTTTAATTTTTTTTTTTTTTTTTTTTTCCCTCAAAGTAGCATCTTTCAGTGTGGTTGACAAATTTAATTATTGTTACTTGCTTAAAGGTCAATACTCTGAATCCAGTGTGCTGCGCTTTCTTGCTTCTTTTTTTCTTTAAAGCAATAAAATGGCTGATACAGTTAATTGTGAAATTAGTAGAACATGGGTGAAAAGTATGTATGTTCACTGTTACTTTATATGTATCTGCAACTGTGTTATCAAGGGCATTTCCTGGTGTGTCTGCATGTTGTTATGGAACGCCAAAGTTCATTATAGCTTAAGTCTGTAAGACTTTTTGGAAAGCTGTTTTGCCATTAGAGAACAGACAGCCCTTGATTAGAGTTGTTGCAGTCTGAAAACACAGAATCTTGCAACCTCTAGCTTTCCTATGAGGGTTTTTTTTTATCCTTTACTGAATGCAAAATTCAGAATGCGATGAATAACTTTTCTGATTTGCAAACCTACATCTTACTGCTTTTATTTAACACTGCAAGTACTATAGAAACGCGTAATTTTGAAGCTGTTTGTTTATTTGCTGCTACTTTATTCTTTCGAGGCTCTTTAATGAATGGAAGCCTTTTCCAGAATTCCCTTAACCATTCCAGTATCATAGGTAGAATGCCTGCCTGCCCTACGGCATCTCTGTGTCGGATAGAGCATCTTTAATAGGTTACTTGTTCCTGAAGTGATTGTCTACGAAAATGCAGTTTTATTTCATAAACTTTGATTTGCAAGGAATTACCAGTGAGGAGAGTATTAATGTAGAGCTATTCTAGAAGTAAAGTACTCCGTCCTTTCAGCATCTTGCAAAAAAGTCACTGTAGTAAAATATCAGTTGCTTTGTTTGTTTAGCTAATTAAAATGTTATTGGTAGTCTCCTGTTGTAGTTCGATCTCAAGGACAGCAGCCACAAGAAAAGAAACAATTTGATCTTCTCAGTGACCTTGGCTCAGATATCTTTGCTGCTCCTGCTCCTCATTCAACTGCTACAGCGAATTTTGCTAACTTTGCACACTTCAACAGTCATACAGGTAAGTATTCTGAGCAGACTATCCCTTTTAAACTTAGCAAAAAATAAAAGTATATTTTACAGCTTTGAGCTACAGTAATTTGAGGTTAGTTTCTGTGCCTTGAATGTTTCATTGTTTAACTCTTACTTATAAAAAAATCTACAAGAAGGCTTGAAAGCAAATGATGGTAAAAGCAGATACTATGGGTATGTTTTCATCAGGCAGTAGTTGCTATAGCCGTTTTCCAGGATAAGTATGATTCAAATGTTTTCTGCCTACTACCAGGACTTAAATTCTTTGGGGGAGTGAGTGAGAATGAGTAACATAATGTGGAGAGAGACTGATATTAGACCTTCAATTTTCTTTCTGAAAATTAATAGGAAGAGCATTCACAGAAAGAAAACAGATGTGGAGACTTTAAAGGAGTTCAAATACATGGACAAAAAATGTCAACTTTTTAGAAGACTTCTTCAGTTTAAAGAAATTACTCTTTTTTTTCTTTTTTTTTCTTCCTTTTTTTTTGTCTATACCAAACTGAATAAAGCCCATGTGGGCAGTATACTATAGTTTCAGGAAGAATAAACATCCATTGAACGTATGTCTTGACTGAGATGGGGGTAGGCCTTCTTAAAGAATGTTTTTAGTAGAATATATTGAGCCCTCGGGGTTTATTTTCAGCTCACAGATCTTGGACCTTAGAAGTCTATTCTAAGGAAAAAAGCTGATCCTGTGATGACTGAAGTATATTGTTGTTAACTTGCATTGTAATTGTGGGAAAGTATCTTTGCCTGACTTGCCTGAAAGAGCTTTTCATACTGTTTTTTTTTTTTTTTTTTTTTTTTCCTGAGGGAAACTGACTTCTGACAGAAACTGGCTGCTAAGTCAGTAACAATTGGAAAAATTTGTTTAAAATTGTATTAAAATTCGTGGTTGGTGGGACACAAGTCACATACCTGAGGAACTGAGAAAAGTATCAAGATGTACTTAAAGGAAACATTTTAAAACATGCTGTGAAATGTTTGGCTGAATTTGGTAAGGCTGAAGAGGACACGCTGTTGCAGTGATTTTTTGGTAAAATGCTTCAATTAAATTTCCATGTTAATCATGGAGGTCAATTTAATTGAGATGAAACTTGTGCTAAGTGGCCAGTGTTGCAAGTAATTGAAGAATGGCAGATACTTCAAATCTTTCCCATAACTGCAATTCTGTTCAAACTTGTGCTTGATGATTCTGTAGGAGTTTCAGGACATGGAAGTTCTGCTCAAGCAGTATTTCAATATTACTCCAGAGGTAGACAAAATTCTGCTGCATTTCTTCTGGGTAATAGCTATAAGGGTAGGATGCAATGTGATCACTCCAGATTTTTTATTACAATAATTGCAGATTCCTGCAATTAGGGAGGGATCCTCTTGGATGCCTGACAAAAAAAAAAAATCAAATTCCAAACATGTGATTACCGAATGCTTTTTTTTTTTTTTTTTTTTTTGGTAAAGATGTTTTCTGGCTCAGTAGTACAAAATATTAATAAGATTTGGATAATGTGTGATAACCACAAGGCAGCGTTAACTGGAGCAGGCCACGAGAGGCTACAGACTCTTCCCTTTAGATACACAAGGTGAATCTACCAACTTGTGCAAAAGAAGTTTTACGTGTTTGTTTAGGGAGTCATAAACATATAACTTGTCAGCCAGTCACACTGTTGCAGGGGATGGCAGATCTTGCGTCTGATCCAGCACAGCTTTCTTAGAGTCTAAGGTGTAATGGCTGGTGTTCTTGTTAGGGCATTGATGCTTTTGCTACTCCTGCAGAATGGAATGGACTGTTCATGAGCTCTATCTGTAAACTGTGATTGTGTAAAGAACTTGCTGAAGAGCATTGGCAAGGTTGACATCAGCTAAAGGATTTCCTCTGCAGTTAAGACACAACCGAGTGTAGAAGCTGCAAGGAAAATATTTAAGAATCTCTAATGTGATGTCCACACATAAAGCATGAAAATAACCCTGGCAGTGTTACCTTCTCATATATTCCTCTTTAGGAGTTTCCTGATACACCCTGCTGCCTCAGGACATTGCTGTATTTTGAAGTGGAATCATGCTGACTGCTCGTTTACCTTCTGTATCTATCTTACAAAGTTGCATAACTTGTGCAAAGTGATGATATTTTGAAGGAAGTAGGAGGAGTGCAGAGTTATCCGCTGTTGCTTGCATACTGCCACTAGTGGCAAAAGAAGCTAAGAATTATTTGGCCCGCAGTTCTGTGAACTTGCGGTACCCGAGCAATAGATTTTAGGAAGGCACAGGGTAACTGTCATGGATCATGAGCAAGAACAGACTTAACTGAGAAGAAATATAGTAGCACAACGCAATTATTGTTTTCTGGAGAATTATTTTCAATTTTATAAGTAAATAAGTACAGTCTTTGTTATAGAGGTTTTTGTTTTGGAATATTCCACTTTGTAGTGGAAACCTCACAGGAGGAGTTGAACAGTGCCTGGGAGGACTAGCTTGTATTGCCATGACTGCTGTGTTGCCATCCATCCAACTTAGCTTTAGTCAGTTGCAGGTTTAGACCTACCTGTTATCTGCTGAGGTTTCTTATGTTCGTGTTGTTCTTGACCTTCTAGGTGGAGAATTAATTTTGGAATTGACAGTCCATCCTTAGAACATGATGTCCATATCATACAGGTGCAGGAAAGTCAGGTCCTTATCTGGGCCTTACTCTTGTGCTATTTTCTCATGGTAAAGTTTGAACCTGTGTAAAATAATGCAAGGTGAATACCTGAACACTCTGCAGAAGAGCACAGTACTATTGTGTTAACATGGGCTATCTTGTAACTCACACTTTGTATCATCTGATTCAAAATAATTATTAAACGTAGACTGTAATAGAGTACATTTCATTTTTTCAGTGTCAAGATTCACATAGCTATCTGTTTGATAGTTGTACAAAGACAATTTTTTTCCCAAATCTAGGAGTAATACACATTTTGTGAACTTAATTAGTAAATTAAGCAGATATTTGAGTAGCTCATACCCAGTTGAAGTCTTGCTGTAATAGCATAATTTCCATTTTTAATCAAATTGCAGTTGAATTCTGACTGGAATTTGAAGCTGCAGACTTTAGAATGGTGTCTATAATGACAGAAACTATTTTTTCCTCTATTTTTTTGACAACTTTTTTCTCCTTGCCCACTTTAAAGGGTAAAATTGTAGGGCTGCACTTACTCTTGAGACTTGCTTTCTCTTCTTCCCTGCCCATCTCACCACCACCTTCATTGTTGACTCTCATGAGCTCTCTTAACAAAAACTTTATGAAGTAGAGTCGCACCTGAAATACTTGTACTTGTGATTGTAGTACTAGCACTGTGCAGTAGCTTGTATAAAAATGCCCTGTTAGTTTATAAACTTGTAGAACAGATGTTTTTAGAAGTTTTTTTTTTGTGTGTGTGTGGAATAATGTAACTTTAGGCAGCTTACATGACCTACAGCAATATTGAAACCGTCAGCATCATTTATTGTTTCTGTGGATGTGGAAGGGCTGGCCTAACAATTCAATGTATTGTCGTTTTGTTTGTTTTGTTTTTCTTTTATTTAAAGAGTGACTTAGGTTATCTATTTAAAGGGGTTTGATTTATATTTGATTTAAAACATTTTCTGTTTGCTTGTAACTGGCTAAGACTTTCAGGGCAGCTTACAGTCAGGCAATTCCTGTTTAATTTTTCCATTCTTGAATGACCAGCTGTTCAAACTTAGGTGGATTTTAACTTTTATTTCCTCCTATAGTATGACATGAAAGGAAGGACCTAACTGAAATTCTGTTCGAAATTTCCTTGGATTTTATTTTGTGGATTCACTCTGTGAATGTTATCTTCTTGACATTGGTATTAATTTTCCATATTCTTGTACTTTTAGCTTTTTGTAAAACTTAATTTTCCAGTAAAATGCACTTATAAGCCTGGTGGAAACTGTTCAAGTGATGCTAAACTAAAACCCTCCAACAGAGAAGCTCCTTTTATAGAAAGAATTCAAATTGTTGTATAACTGTTGTTTTGATTTTTATTCCCAAACAAACGCTTGGTTAGTCCACAAATCCTATTTTGGGGAGGCACTGTTTAGAGTGATACCTTCTTTGGCTCCTACAGCTGTCCTTGATATTCTGTGCTCTTTGGTTGGTTTTCCCCAACCCATGTCCACCCTGAACACTGTAGGTCTAAACTAAATTGGACTTTATTAGGTCGTGTAGCTGCGAGGAGGAGAATGTGTGAGGAGAGAAGTAGCAGCAACTGACCTAGGTCTGCAAAAAGCAATTCATGAAAATTTGCTTCAAGAACAGCTTTTACTTGTAGAGTATCACATATAATTTTTATGTTAAAAAGAAATTACAAGGTAGAACACAGTCCCTGGAGGCTGTCATGACCATTAATTAACTTAATACATCTGTTTTTGTGGGGTTTTTTGTTTTTGTTTGTTTGTTTGTTTGTTTTCCCCATATCCATTAACATGTTTTGTTCCTTTGCAATTTACAGCGCAGAACTCTGCAAATGCAGGTTTTGCAAACTTTGATGCATTTGGACAGTCTAGTGGCTTGAGTAATTTTGGAGGTTTCCCCACAGCAAGTCAGTCTTCTTTTCAGCCCCAAAATACAGGTAGAACTCCTAGCACTTTTGATTAATATGTAATTGAAGTAAACCATACCTTTAGGTTGGAAGACACTTAAGTTTATTTCTTGCATCTGCCTGCTTGAGTGCAATCAAGCTGTCCGAAGCTCTGGGGAAACTCAAAATGAATTCCTTCTGTTTGGTGTTGATTTTTTTTTTCTTTTCTTCTTGTGTGTGTTTTTTTTTTTAATGCTACTATGAAGTCTGATTTTTGAGCACTGTATGTTTGTTAGCTCTACACCTGAAAGAATTAATAAATAGAATGCAACCATATTACTTATGATAAACATTAAATTGACTTTTCACCTTGGAAGGGTTTCAGTAAATGCAGAGGACATCAGACTATTAAAAGCTTATGTCTCTGTGTGCATATATATATTATATATGCACACATTTTATGACTGTCAGAGGGTTTCATGTGTAGAGCCTACTACTAAGATTTATTTTGTTTTTCTTTAATTTGTTCATGCTTTAAAACTCTTGCTTGAGCTTACACTTGCTGTTTGTCTAGATCTTTGGCTGACTGACTCTTTTCCTTTTTTTGTTTTCTTTTTTCTTTTTTTTTTTTTTTCTTTTGAGTGTGGTGTCGTTTTAAACTTTTTTTCAAATTTTCTTTTTCCCTTCTTATGTTAACTTTAACCCACACACAATTTCTGGCTGTCCAGCGTTCAGAACGCTTTCATCTAGCTGCAGTTTTGGTGAATTTACTTCAGCTTTTCCTCTCCAGGCTGTGCACAGTAAGTTCCACGCAGTGGAAAACTCAGCTTGCTTCATTGTTTGCCATTGTTGTATAGCATTTTCAGTTCTACTGTTGCATATGTCTTAACTTCATTGATTAAGATATTAAAGTTGTCTGTCTTTTTTTGTTGTTGTTGTTGTCGTTGTATGGGTGGAATCCTTAACCAATTTTTATCTATGTTACATTTAATGTACCCAATGGAACAATTTAATTAAATTTAAATATGACTGACTTAGTTTAATCTAACACTCTGGACTCTGAACACTTGGATGCTTGTAGCTTTAAATACATTTCTATTTCATGAACCTCAGCCAGGTTTTTCTAATTGGCTTGTCTTTGAGGTCAGTAGAGACTTGATATCAAAAGAGCTGTGTTCTTTTTCTCTCACCCCTTCTTGATTGGATGCAGTTTGAAAATCTGAAAATAAAAGAGTGTAATAGTCTCTCTGAATCTTGGCATGCAACTTTTGGACCTCTAGGCTGTGTTTTTTGCCTGGAGTCATGAACAGATATTTGAAATAATCAAACATATTGTACCATTTAGTAAATCCAAATAGCAGCTGTTAATTAGACACACTTGAGAAGAAAACGAAGGTCCTGTATCCTGAATTTGTAAAACTGAGAACAGTATTGATTTCCCCCCCCGCCCCTCACCCCCCAGCAAAGTGTTATTGCTGAAACTGCTTTAACAGTTTGTGGGTAGTGCATGATTTTGCAATATCTGACTGTGATTAAGCTGCTAAAGTGTTTTTTATCTCTGATCTACAGTCTAAAAATTAGTGTGGTAATCCAACATGAATTTGAAGGATATGGCAAAGGGTGTCAAACCTGTGGGATGGTGCAGGGGAAGATGTTGCCTCACATAACCCCAAAGAGGTAGCATTATTGTGACACTATTTGTGGTTGGAGAGACTTTGTGTCTTTGAGTACTGATCATGTTTGACTTGTTTTGTTACAGGTGGAAGTGCTGGATCAGTGAATGCTAACTTTGCTCACTTTGATAACTTCCCCAAATCCTCCAGTGCTGATTTTGGAGCCTTCAGTGCTTCTCAGAGCAACACAACAGCAACAGCAGTCAGTAAAGCTGCAGTGAATAAACAGAATCTCCAGTCAGCAGACAAATATGCAGCTCTTGCTAATTTAGATAATATCTTCAGCACAGGACAAGGTATTAAACTTTATTCTTTCACGAGTTTGTACTACAGAGCTTTTATTCTGTATCACAAGGATGTCTGTCTATCGAAATAATAAGTTTTTTGTATTCCAAGATGTCTGTTCTTTAAACAATCAACGGAATTTCACTTATTTAAATACTGTGTTGCTATGTACCCTTAATATGCATAAGTTTAAAAGATGTAAATTTAAATTTAACATGGTCACTCCAAAAGGATGCCATCCTAGAATGGATATTTAGGAACCTACTTGCTGTCAAAATGAAGAATACTAGATTGAAATCTCTAAATAAAGATTAGTGCAGGGAGCATTTTTTTGTGATATACTTGAGCTAAAACCTCGGATAAAGTTTGTTTAATGAAGAACTGCAGTTACTTAGAATTGTAGTAGCTTCCTCCTACTAGCACTTCACTAACATGTAGATTGGTTTTGTGCTTGTTGAAGCACTAAACGAGTTTCATCAGCTACCAAAATTTTTTATACTGTAAATGATTCTGTTGATCTTTACCTTAAGCTTGCCTGGCCTTCACAGTTTCTGCTCAGGTGAACTTGTGTTAATTGGCAGTGGATGACTGTTCTGCCAAAGCTGAAGTTGAAAGTACTTGCATTTAATTAGCACAGATGCAGAATTGAGCTTCAGTCTGTGTTCCATGCAAGCCTGCAAGTAGACTACATTCAACCAAGTAACTCTGTTTCCTTGGCTTAGCAATCCTTGTGGAGAGATAAGGTGTAACAGTACAAAGATTCTAAAACTTTAACCAACAAAGTTAATTCTTTTATTAGCAAAACTGCCCTGTATATAAAGAACCAAGTAGATACTCAAGGGTAGTCCTTTGGTAAAAGATGCTATGGCATCGTAGCTTTCTTCCTATCTATTATTTACAAAAATCTTTTGAGTTCAGCCCTCCTGTTGACGTATAGACTTTTATTTGGTCTGTTTTGTTATCTTCCCTTCCCTTTATCATGGCTCTCTGACCTTCATGGCGTCTTACAGAATACTCTGTTTGCTTGGTGCCGTAAGACTAGTCCTGTAAGGACATTGTCCCTGTAGAAAGTGACTGAGAAGCAGCATCTTTCAATGCTTATAAATGTAAATTCAGGATGTGGAAAAGCTTGAGTATGGGTTTACATATTGCTATGCTGAGTAGACACTGCTATTTATTCTGTAACACTTTTACTCCTTCTCGAGTGGTGTGAGCATTCAAATGTTGATCTCTTAATGTAGAGGTTTGTTCCAAAACAGTATCTGTGTTTTTTAAAAAAATGAAATCTTCTAGCTGAAGAAAAGACAGTAGTATTAAATCATTATGTTCTGGGAAAAGCAGAGGCCTTTGGGGCCGGAGAATGTCTATTGAAGCATGACACTGTTGCCAGTAGCAGGGGCTTGGTAACTTTTTTAATAGGCCGTAAGGCATATTTCATTTATAAGATGGAAGCTGAAGTATGTCTGTGTCTGAACTTCCATGTAATAGTCACCATTAGCAGAGCAGAAAGTAGAAACCATCTCTGTTATTTTTAATCTAATGTCTCTCTTGTAGGTGGTAGTGAGCAAGGAAGTGGCTTCAGCACTGCAGTGACAGCATCAGCAGGTCCTGCTTTGTCAGCCCCAAGTCAGTCAAGTGCATCTTCAGACAAGTATGCGGCTCTAGCAGAGTTAGACAGTGTGTTCAGCTCCACAGCAACCTCTAGTAATGCATATACTTCCACCAGTAACGTTAGCAGGTACTCTTCATTAGCATTAATGGGTCTGTAAACCCACTTCATCAGTATATGGAAAATAGCTCAAGGAAAAGTTGCTTAAAGTTGGTTATATTTTTTTTTCTCTTTACCAAAAAAAAATTAAGTGAATACTGCTTTTTATTTATTTATAATAGCACTGTATAAGAGAAAATGAATAGTGTAAGGAGAATGTTCTCTGCATCTTTGAAGTTATTACAAATATCCTAAAAACCTTTGTCATGGATAATGCTATGATCTTAAGTATGCATACAAATATTCTGTCTAGAAAAGTGTTACCACCTAAAAGGTTTAGTATCTAATGTAAAGAGTGCCAATCACTTGCATTTTGATCATTAATGAAAGCTATTTGCCTGTTACAGCTACGCAAGTACCTCTAAAGCCTTTGCTTTGCAACTTTATGCTGATGGCTTCTATTCAATATTCTCTCTCTTGCTGTTGGTGGAAAGGGCTTTCCATTGCTCAGCATATTATTCACTGACCCTGTCATCAGGGCCTCAGATCGTGGCATCAGTGGATTATACAGAAGTGCATACCAATTCCATTTCTATTCTTTTACATGCCAGCTATAATTGTAGACTATATTTAATTGTTAAATGAGTGATACTGACACTGAACATGTGGATTATTTTCAGCAATGCTTTTGGAACAGTACCTGTGGCTGCTACTGCACAGACCCAGCCCGCATCTTCGAGCGTGCCTGCTCCGTTTGGAGGTATATAAGAGTTACTAACACTTTTGCCACACTGTTAGCAAACACTAACGATACTGAAGTTCCTAAAGGATGCCCAAAAAATAGTTGTCTGTGTAGGTCACACTTTGCAAGTTAATCACTTTATTATCAATTTTTTTTTTTTGAGGTCATGCCATATTTGTGTATCTTTGTAAAAGATGTATAAATGTAATGCAAGTCAGGCTGACTGTTTTTAAAAGACTTTGTTTTATTAATATTTTTTAATCTTTCAGCAACACCTTCCACAAATCCATTCGTAGCGGCCCCTGTTGCCCCAGTGGCACCTTCAACGAATCCATTCCAGACAAATAGCCGAGGAGCAACAGGTTAGAAAACTCTCTAATTCTTTAAGTCTTTTGTTCAGTTAGTTAAAAATAGGATGCAAAAGTCAAGATTCATTTTTTAAAATGTCAAAATTACCTCTTTCAAGATATTTTTGATACTCCCTCAGCTATTTGTATGGTCACTAGGATACCTTTCAAGACTGAACTCCTCTTTGAAACTGGTTTCATGGTAGATTGCCCTGAAGTTGGGTATCTTGAAGGCCCTACTGCCAAGCTGTTACACTTGATTTTATTCATTCCTCCCTTTCCAGTCGTGGTATTTTATTAAACTAGTTTGGGGTGGGTTTTTAAAAGAAAGATTTAAAAAAAAGTGTACTGTGGAATATACTGCTGTAGAAGTCTTTAAAAATCTCTAAGACTTTGCAAGAGACTGGGGGTTCCTGTTCTGCTTTAGTTAAAATTCAACTCGTGCAGAAGCCATACAAGAGCCCGTGTGCCGATACCAAACTGTATTTGGAATAAAACTTGATTCTGCAGGAGTACCCTAAAAATGCTTTTTTTCAAATTAGTATGAAGGTGGTGCCTGTTCACAGGATCACGGATTAATTAAAATAAATGTTGGTTGAAACTGGTGGATTGCAGGTTTTTGGTGGATTTGCAGGTCTCCTGTAACAGCAAAACAATGATGTTGGAATATATAATCTGAATGCTCATGGCTTACGTCTAATTTTCTCAGGATTCTGTAAATTATAACTTTATAATAGCTTATCTCCACAAAAACAAACAAACCTGTGCTGTTTTTACAGCACTAATCATGAATTTAGTTGCATGGTATTTTGTGCTTATTTTCATTTCGTAAAGCACTGCTGCCTTTTGGCACTCTTATCTACATGGACTTCTGGGTGGGGGAGAGTTTTCTGTCTTAAATCAGTTGTCTGTTTATGTGTGTGTTTTAATGTTGAACTGTGCTTTGCTCAAAGTTCTAGTTAGAGTGAATTAAGATGATCAGGCTGAGTTAAGACCGAATTGATCAGATTCATGTTTCCTGCTAAAATGAATTCTATTTCCAGCTCCTTTTGGGTTGCTTTGCAGCTAAATTTAACTACTTAGTGATTCTTTTTTTTAATTGCACGACTAGCTATGCTGTTTTAGATCATCTTTAAGAACTCGTAGCCTTCAGAAGCTGCATTCTTAATGGACTGTGAAGGAAGTAACTTTAATACTGCCATTTTGTGGCCATCCACATTGAAGTAAATTGGTTAAATCCACTTTAAATGTGATCGAACTTAACCACTCAACTCTTCTTCCACCTTCTAAATTCTGCTGCCCTTTGCTTGCAGAGGTTTCCAGCACTTTCTTCTGCTACATGTTAATGAGGTTACATGTTAGATAATAGACATACTGACTATAGATAATATTCTACTTCTTCCAATGTAAGGTGCAAGCTTGTAGTTTATCCTTTATGCTCAGCTTACTTTTTGCATGAGCTTTGCTGTTTATTAGGTGGGATATCTGATTTGTAGCATTTATTTTTAGGTGTTTATTATGTGAATTTATTGCTGGTCATACTATCAAAAAGTTATTTGCTTTAAAGTGTTATGCATATGTAAAAGTAGTTATCTAAGAAATTATAGTGTATAAACTATTTGACATTGTCTGGTCTCTTTGTGGCTTCCATAAGGCCTCTCGGGAGCAATGCACTCTCACATATTTCCTCAGGCTCATTTTGGTAGGTGGCCACATTTGGTATGAAGTTTCGTGTGGCTAATTGTTCTTGCTTGTAAAAGCTTAATGGCAGCTATCTGGTTCTCTGCACATAGAATTTCAGGAGGTTCCTCCCATCTTTTAAAATGGCATGGGTGTGGGTGTCTGGCAGCTGGGAGAGGTGGGGGAGAGAAGCACAAGCAACTTGCAACTTGCATTGAGCAACTAAAACAAAACCATTATTGATAGCCTCCCTGTCACAGAGAATGTTATTTTGTGTGACTCCTGACATTTATACTCGTGCTAACTTGATGCCTCTTGGAATATCCTAAGTCACTGCTCATATTGTGCTTTTGGGTTTGCTGTTCTAGCAAGATTTGCTGTTGCATAGGTTCTTCACTAACTGCAACTTGAGAACAAAGCTAGTGTGTTAGCTCAGTATGTATTTTATCAATGGTTTATGTATGTATAATGTCCTGCCATAAAGTAATTTGGGGGGTAAACTCTTAATTAAGCTATATTAACTACTTTTTTTAAACCGGGCTTACCTAAAATCTGCAAAAAACTTTTAACACTTATAGGTCTGTTTAATGTTGAAGTTAAAGCAAAAGCCTGGTATGTGTTTCTACCAAAAAGCCTTCTATATGTCTCTTTCTCCTAGAATAATTCCCAAAAGTCTTAATAATGGTTTTGTTGGTGCATTTTTGCAAATAACGTGCTTTATTAATTTGTCTGAAAGCATGTGGAATTGCCTATATGCTTTATGTTATTTACTTGAAGTGTTCAGCAGAGAATCAGATGAAAAGAATTCCTTTGTTTTGTTTAATTCTTCCCTCAACATTAAGAGTGTTTGCAGTAGGCAGTCTGCGTGCTAGTTGATGTGCATGGTGAGGATTTTCTCTAAAGTAATGCTGAGGTTGGGGCACAGCAATGGGATGCATGTGTTCTTTATAATTTTATTTTTATTCTATTAATTTATTTATTTTGCTTCCTTAAAATGAGGGAGATATTTTCTTCCTTTGCTAGTGGGAGAGAAACGGGCTTATGCTGCTTGAAAATGCTTGTTTGTGACTTAAACCCTCTTACCAGGAAATACTGGGAAAAGTATTTAATAACACAGAGCATGTGGAAGAGAATTCCCTTTTTAGAAAGTTTGTCTGAATGTTTACTGAACTAGCAAAATTGAAATTACTCTTTTCATTTTAAAATGCAGAAGTGAAGTCATGCATCTTGTTTTGTCAATCTGAGTTAACAAGTCAGTTTAGTAGTTGTAGAAGTTGAATCCAGCTCCTGTATGACCTCTGAGGCTTTAGGATATTCTATTTAATATGTTATTGCAGTAATTTGACTCATGAAAAAGTGATTTCTTGCAAATAATTGAATATTACTTTTCCCTACCAGCAGCAACATTTGGCACTGCATCCATGAGCATGCCTGCAGGATTTGGAACTCCTGCCTCCTACAGTCTTCCTACTAGTTTTAGTGGCAACTTCCAGCAGCCCACATTCCCAGCCCAGGCAGCTTTCCCTCAACAGACTGCTTTTGCTCAGCAGCCAAATGGTAGGTTTATACAGTTTGGATAATCTTGTTTAAATGAGGAGCATGGAGGAAATACTTCTACATTAGTGGTAAAGAGCATTTGTTTTTTATATGAAGTTAATAATGCTGATACAGGGAGAAGGATTGTATGCTGTAGGTCAGCTCTTTAGTTGGCTTGTCTGAGTGGATTTTGAACCATGACTAACTGAAGCTTTATCCTAGTCTGATACGAAAATTATAAAATTACTCCTGGACATTAGATCCGAGATGGTATGGTTCTTAAATAGTAGCATTAACAAAGCAGTCATGTTGTCAAATGTCATCTCAGAGTGTCCTCTTGATGATTCAGTATTAATAGATAAACAATAATTCTTTGGAGCAGTTTTTCTCCAGAGCAGAAGCAGATCTAGTTTGGGCCTGCTCGTTGTTATCAGAGTGAAACTTGGTCCCAGACACATGTCTGTTCGCTTTACTTGAGTATTATAGCAGTAGGCTCTTTAGAGAACTGAGGATGAATTACTTCTGATTGGTGCAGTCCATAGGACTGCACACTGAGCATTCATATTGTCTTGCCCTATAGCTGAGATATGAAGAAGTAATTTGCAGCTGGGGAGGATGAAGTCTTAAAAACTCTGGCTGTTTGTTAAATTTGTTTTTAATTACTAAATAGGGTCAAGCTTTAAAAACAAAACTTTAATTTTGGAGGAAACACTTCCCAGTCTTAAACAGTTCTGGTTTTCCTACTGCTTTTCAGCACTTTCAGGACTTAGCACCTGAGACACTCAAAGTTCTTACTGAAATTGAATTTATTTCCAGTGTATGAAATGTTTTTATATCTACATCTAGGCTTATTGGGGTGGAGGAGAATGCTGCATGTTTAAATTAGAAACAGGTCTTGCAAGTGCAGCTAATATTTACCTAGTATTGGAACCAATTTGTAAAAGCAGTCCTAATATAAATGTTGAGTGATAAAGTCAAATTTAATCTTGTAAAATCCATATATTACTAGGTTGGCTACTAGTATTAATATTTTCACTGTTTTTTTTTCCAAGGAGCAAGTTTTGCTGCATTTGGACAGGCAAAGCCTGTAGTAACTCCTTTTGGACAAGTTGCAGCTGTTGGAGTATCTAGTAATCCTTTTATGGTAAGTGAGTCCCTGCAAGATATTAGCTGAATGTATATCTGAAAGGAGGCATAAAGTGTAACGCTTAGTTTAGACACATGCAAATTGCTTTCCCTTCAAACTGGGGAAGGCAACATGTGAATCCTTCTAAATGCATTCAGTATTATGACAACATGGCATTCATAGTGCTGCTCAAATTGAAATAGAGCTAGATGCCTACGATGCTCTTTATAGTAGCACAGTTTGAGAGCTACCAAAAAATGAAAAGTTGCACCATAAAAACAAATCTTTCCTAGTAAGTTATATTTCAATTGATATTCCATGCATTTAGAGTTTGTGACATTGGAAAAAAAAATCTTAAATCCTAATTTTTTCCTCTTCTCTCTCTCTCTTTTTTTTTTTTTTTGTTGTTGTTGTTTGTTTGTTTGTTTGTTTGTTTCCCCCAAGGCTGGTGCACCAACGGGACAATTTCCAACAGGAAGCTCATCAACCAATCCTTTCTTATAGCCTTATAGACACTTTACCTAAAAGAACTCTTATGTGGTCACATAACATCTCTGCGCCTCTTGCACTGTTGTCTTGTTTCACTGATATTAGCTTTAAACACAAAAAAAGTAAAGTAAAAATAAAAGCCTGCATTGTGTACCTTAGGAAGAAAAAAAAAACAGTACAAAACAAAACCACCCCCTGCCCCCCATGAGGTAATAATGTGCAAAACAGAGGGCTGTGGTAACATCCTTGAACCTGTGAATTGGCAGGTAAAAAGTAGCGGTATCATGTATATTAAAATTGGCTAATAAGTTATTGCAGATACCACATTCATTATGCTGCAGTACTGTACATATTTTTTCTTAGAAAATAGCTATTTGTGCATATCAGTATTTGTAACTTTAACACATTGTTATGTGAAAAAAAAATGTTACTGGGAAATAGATCAGCCACTTTTAAGGTGCTGTTGTATCTCTTGGAATGAATGAGCTACATCATTTTAACCATTGGTATTGGAAGTCATGAAGTTAAATTGAAGGTTTATTCATTTCTCAAAATGTTTTCCTTTCCTAAGAGCTCTTCTATTTATACATGCCTAAATCTCTAATGTTAGAGGGATACCTGTCTGCATAATAAAGCTGATCATGTTTTGCTACAGTTTGCAGGTGAAAAAAAATAAATATTAGAAAAACAATTGCATGGCACTTCTGTACAGTAACATTTTATTGGGTTAAAATGTATGTATTTTGAATCTGACACACAAGTTATCTAAAGCCATATGCTCAAAGGTGAGCTCAGCTGAAAATTTCCACATGCTTAGTCTTGGATATGTCTAATGTTTCTTTTGATGTCCTTGACCTGCTCTTCTGGTTCAAGGGGAGTAGCTTCCTTAACAGCAAAGTATTTCAGTGAACTTGGATTATTTTGATAGAACAGTTGTTTAATGAAGGACATTAGAAGCACTGAGGAAAGCAGTAACTTCAGGGAAAAGAATTGACTGGGATAGAGGCATAATTGTGGGGCAGCAAATGTCAGTATTTAAGCATGACTTATCTGTGATCAGTACAGTGAATCTGATCGCAGGTATAGTGCTCCTTCTAGTTCTATCAGGGCCCACCACTGAAAGTTTGTAGAGTAGTAAAAATGTCTGTCTTCTCTAGCTTGTAATAAGATTGTAAGAAGTTTATAATACTCTCTATATCCAAATAAGCAATGATAGGCATAAAGGCGGAGACAACTTGGTTTAAGTTTGAGTCTACTACTGGCACTAAGCAAACGAATGTAGGTATCTCATGACTGCATAGATTGTAAGATTAAAATACGATTTCTGACCAGCTGAAAAGTGATGTTATTGCTGTTTCCAAGATAACAGGAGCACGTTAGATCAGGTGATTTTTAGGTGAATTTTAAGAAAAGGATATGCAAGACAATTTGAGACAGAGAATTTTTTAAGGTAAGAAATTTCACTTGTAATAGTGATTGCTTGAATATTTTATTTGTTTATTTCAACTGAAAGACTTGATCACTGCTTGTAAAACGTTGTATTTTATGCCTGTTTTGTTTCTTTTGTTGCCTGTCCACGGGGATTGGTAATTTCTGTAGCTTACCTTTACTTTTCTGAAATATTGAAGAGCTCACAAAGCTGGGGACAGACTGGTTGTATAACAGGTTGCTTACAGTAGTATTCCTCACTTAAATGCTGTACTGTCCTATTAACACAATTGATGCTATAACAGTGGTTGTCAGATTTGGACTCTGATTTTCCCTTCCCCTTCCTCCCCCTTCAGCAAGAGCAGCTGGATATGGATGCAGGGTGATGTGGTTTATATCCCAAGAATTTTTGGGAAATCCGCTAAATTCTCCTGTGATCGAGTTGTTTTCGGGATTTTATTAGTGCCCTTGGGCTCAACACAATTTTTAGTATGGTATAAATAGTTGTAGTTCTGATCTGTTACTCTTACCTGGGTGGGGCTCATGACATGTTAATGCAGTAATAAGTGGGAAAAGCAAGAATTCAGAAGGAATTATGGAACCCTTCAACATACTTAGAGCAGGGAACTAGACCAAATTGCCTAGATATCTCATCAGTAAGAGAGAAACAGCCCTCTGGAAGGGACACAGTCCTGTGCTGCCATCATGTGAATGGATGCAAAGCCTTTGGACAAGAGCTAAGGAGATGGAAATCGCTGAAGTTGTTCTGGTCCAAACGAAGCTGAGTACTGCAAAAGGACACTGAGCATAAACTGACACCATAGCCGTTTTGTTGGTTGCTTTTTTTTTAATAATAGATGTATTTACAAAATGAATTCTTGTCATAGAGACTTCTGCAGCTAGTTACTCACATAATTGCTCATGTAATTGGCATAGTTCCCCAAAAGCCCTATTTCCATTAGCTTTTCAGTAGCCTCTTCTGCTGTACAGATTTGAACTTTGTAATTTCATCTGCTTCATGTTGTAGATGTTAATTTGGAGAGCTTCTACATTTTTTTTAATCCTAATATATTAATTCTTTCACATGTAGGATACAGCATAAGATAAAACATGAAACAGTTCCAAAATGGGGGATGTGATGCCCAGATACTACATTCTAAATTATTTAACTTGAATGATTGCATAATTCCCAAGTACTGTATCAAATCAACTACTATCAAGAGTTTATTTAAAGGGAGCATATCTGGTTGGAATTACTGAAAGATGGGAGCTATAAATAAAATGCAGATAATTTGCTGTCTTGCAGGGAAAACTTCTTATGGCATAGAAGTAAGCTCAAACAATTTAAAAGATTGTTTTTGAAGAATTATATCATTTTGACTTGTGAGCTGAATAGGGGTAAGTATCAGTCTCATTGCAAATTTGTACATAGTGATAAAGGAGTACAGTGGAACTGACCATCTCATGAAATTAACTCTGAAGTGGACATCCTCAAATATGGTTGTGACATCCATTAGTTAACTTTACTTCAAAATTGAAAAATGTTCCAATGTAACTAATTAGAATTGGAACTAATTGTCCCTGCCTTATGGGGGCATTGAAATGCCTCCCCATGGTTAAAAACAAAAAAAATACAGTCTTTTAAAGGGCACTTAGAGTGCTGTCTCCATGCATCTTGAGCTTACAGCAAAATTTTCACTGCATCGATAGCAGTTTATCTGTCTCTAATGACATGAATTCTTAGAGTTCTATCATTCTGGATTTGTGGGATGTATTTATCTGTAGAATCTGAACAGACTGCCTCTTGGTGATTAGTGAGAATAAGCTAAAATGGCAGCATGGCTATGCTCTATGGTATTGTAGTAATCAATTTTCGAACATACAGAAAGAGCAGTTCTAGAAAAATAGTTTATCACTATCTATGGTAGCATATATTTAAAATGTGTGTCACAACTTACAGGTAAGAAAATCATAAGCCTTAAAGGTTTCCATAGGAAGTTTATCCGAGGATCACTTTGCTGCTGTGTGGTAGTTGTTTTTTTCATTTAAAATGTGTGAAGATGTTTGAAAGTGAAATTGCCTTCCATTGCAATCCTCAGCAGAATTGGAAGTTCAAAGGTGTGTTTCCTAAGCTTTCCTGTTGTGAGGTTCAGGCCTCTGAGTGCACTTGCCTCTTACTGTGAGCACTAATATAAGTTTTCATGTTAGACCTCTATTATTATTTTTGAGTTGAAATAGATGATTGCTTGGAGTGGGGGGAAAGCAGAGCTCTGTGTGCTGGAGCCTGTTTCACCAATCCTACCTGATCAAGCTTTGTGTTTCTCCTAAGTCATTGCTCAGGTGATGGAGCCTTCTGCACTGTTGCTTGCAAGCACCTTTTCTTGTCCTTTCCCGTCCCTGCACCCGCTTAGTGATCAGTACTTGCACCAGCTGCACTGGTAGTTCTGCATTTGATGGACGCAATGGTATATATGCTTCTGATGAGGAAAATCCCCGCTATGACTGTAAAGTAGCTGCCATAAATGAGAAACTGGGAAATGGGATGGCAGGGAGGGAGAGGAAGAAGCAAGAGCTATTTTATTTTGTTAGTTAAAAACATTTAGGGTGTCTACACTGCCATGTTTCCCTCCCTGCCACCTGCTCCCCAAAATGATCCTGTGGGATACAGAATTCCAGAAGTCTGGCTGCCCGGCCTAACCCCCTACAAGTCCGATGCTGGAAAAGCAGAGCGAGAGAACATGCTTCCTTACTCCCCATCTCAAGAAGGCAGGAGGACAGCTGCCCTGTACTATCTGATTCATTTCTTTTTCTTTTTTTAATAGTGTTGTCAAATCTCTTCCCTACTTAAAACTTCCCTAAACTAATCTTATTCAGGTTGGTTGTCGATGAGTTGTAAAAGAGTACTGAGTTTCTCTTATTTTCCTGTGAAACATAGAATGCTGCAAATAGATTTGCTCCTGTCTTTTGTATTACAGCATGCTCCAAGCTTTTCTCACTTTGTAAAATTGATCTTGGTGAGCAGCTGCTTTCTCTAAAAATTCTTAGGCAAATTTGTCAGTGGGTAGCTTATTTTTATCAGTCGTCTTACTGAAATCCCATCAGGTATGACACTTCAAAAAATTCTACTTTGTGGTTTGAACATCCCTTGACATAGTATGGGCATAATGAGAATTAAGATTTGGTCTTTGAGCAATTCCAAACTTCTGAGTACCCAAATGCTAATACTGTTGAAATGTTCCTGTTCTACCTTACTGAGCCTGCTGAAAGATGAAGGTTTGAAATGGACCTTACTCGGCATCCAAGTTTAAACTAATTCTGAAAGCTGCCTGGGACTCATGAGACTGATATCTTCAGAATTAAAGCATACATGTAACTACATAAATTAGAATGACCCTAGTAATGAAGATAGTTTGGATTACATTTTACTTAGCTTCCTAGTTCTGTTTAGGGTATTTTAACAAATTGACGAGTAGTAAACATTTAAATAAAAGGAAACTGAATCATAGGGAGTGCTTCTTTGCTTTAGCTTTATGGAAACTTTCTTAAAGGAATACCAGACATGCAAAACTGATAGGACTAAAGGGCAAGTAGGTTATAGTGGCTGCTGCAAAGTTCACTTTAGAGGAACCTGTTTTCAAGTGAGTGACTGCTAAGCTAGTCAGGGAGCTAATCCCTTCCCACCCCTCGTCTGGAGGACAGGAAGGGGCTGGGGAGTAGCATGGACAATGGTGCTTACCTGTGTGCTGATATCCAGTCCCAGGCCTATTGAATCTACTACAGTAATGGTTAAAATTGTCTGAATCACCAGCGCAACAAAGTTGTTGAAGCCAAACATTAGAGCATAGCGCTCCATACTTAGGTTGACAGCAATCTGAAACCTAAAAATGAATGTACACATTAACTTATTTCTTTTCTTTCTTTTTTTCTTTTGAGTGGATATTTCTGCTGTGTAACTGATAGTGAGCAGACTTGGACAGAAGCTTGTTCTGTGGGTTGCTTATCTCTCCATAGCTCTATGCAACCTGGCTGTGGAAGGAACCAATTTTCAGATTATTGCACTTGTATTTAACCCTAGATTTCTCTGTAATTCCCATTCAAAGATACTTTAGAGGCCTCCAGCCACTTACAGAACTGCATATACATTTTTTTAAACTGTATTTTCTAACAAAGCATGTTTCACTTTGCTTAATTTACTTGTGTGATAACTCTCTAAATGCTGTGAAATGCAGTAAGCTACAAACATTCAGAAATGAAGGCTTGTATTTATTCATTTGATGTTTAGCAAAGATTTATACATAGATCATTACACAGCTAAGTGCAGAATAAGGTAGTTACTTGGAGTAACCATTATAATGGTTATGTCATAGTAACTATAGTTAACCATAGTTTAATCATACTTAACCATAGTTTTATATAAGTTAGAAATAGTATAATGTGCTGTTGCCACAACTTATTCAACATCTTATTTAAAGGGAAGTGTTCATTAAAAATATCATAAATGTAAAGTATGATATGAAATTTACTGATTTAAATCAACAGAATTGTTAGCAAGGGTGAGTTATACTTACGTTGCTATTGTTATAAGGAGCATATAGCATGCCTTAAAGGCAAGGTAGCCAGCATAACATGCCCAGATGTTGTTGGTGAAGTGCATGAGAAAGAGAGAACCAGCATCCATTGCAGAGAAAATCCCCAAAGCCAGTTCTCCAGACAAGTCCCAATTCAGTTTGATATAGCCAACTGCCATGGATGTTGCTGAACCTAAAAATTGAAAATAACAGTTAAAACTGTAAAATAGTATCATCCCTTTAGAGCTATGGCATAATTAAGTGAATGGATCATCCCAGGATCACCCATGTGACTCTTGCTTAGGTCTGCAGTGGGCTTCGATAATGGTGTGGCTTATGTACACTGTTAAATTAGGAGAGTCTTCAGTTTCCCTTGTTTATGGAGCTATCCTATTCTGAATTACTCCAAGGAAGAGGCTTCCTTGGCACAGCAGTACATGACCCTGCCTGTTGTCATGTTATTCCATTTTGAAGTAAAGAGTAAAGAGGGGGAAACTCCACCAACCATTCACCACTAAAAAGGTGTGTAATGGAGATCATTTCATGAAGGTCTTAAGGACATGAATGAATTATATATCTTATACTCCTTCCTACATCCTTTTTTTTTTTTAAGGGAATTGTAGCCTTGGTTGCTGGTAATAATCTTATGGACTGCATTTGTCAACTCTTTTCTGACCACCAGATATAGTAAAACTCCTTACTTGAATGTAATATGCCATATTAAACTCCTGTGCCTTAATTTATATGTCAGTAATAATGAGGTTTACTTTTCTCCACATGGCTCTGTATAGAGTATAGCTATACAGTAGCAGAATGTATCCAGCTATATCTTTTATGTTCCTTTTGCAGAGAGGATCTTGCACGTTTCTGAAAGTTTTGAGACGCAGTGTTCTGAGGATTAGGAGCTTAGATGGAAGAAGTCTGGTTCCTGCAGCACTTGCATTCTGTGGCAGTGTGAGCCATCGGACTTCACGGAGCTGTGGAGGGCAGACAAGTACCAGATACGAGATGTTCCAGGGTGCATGCGTTAGTGCCGAGCTGGACACTTTGCTGGTTGCAGGTGCTCTACAGCACAATTTAAAAGTTAAAGTAGATTTGCACCTCGATCCCTTTGTTGCCCTAAGCAATGAGGTTCCTAGTAACACAAGTGCTATCTTGTTTTCTGAAATACAATTCAAGTGCCAGAGCACTTGAAAGCACAAAATCCTCCTAGGAGTAGTGCTCAAGTGAGACACTTAGTTTTGGGGTAGCTTCAGTAAAACACATTTCATGCTGCTTGCAGGGAGGAAGCGTGGATGGCCAGTTACCTGCAGGAATGAGAGAGAGCTGCTGATGCAAAGGAGGTTATGGAGCTGTGGATATGTGAGCTTGAAAATGAGGCTCTGTTGGTGCTGCACAGCTACTGAAAGGAAGAAGTGAAGCTTTGAAATGGCTGTAAAGCAGAAGGCCTGCAGGGAAAGGAGGAGGGCATTCAGGCAGATCAGGTAATTGTAATAAAGGAAGTCTCAGAATCACAGGGAAGCTGAGGGTAGAAGATCTCTCTTGATCATCTTGTCTAACCCCACCTTGCTCGAAGCAGGTCAGCTGGAGCAGGTTGCCCATGTGTGTGTCCAGCTGAATCTTGATTATCTCCGAGGATGGAGATCCTACAGCTTCTTTGGGCAACCTGCTCTACTGTTTGATGACCTTTACAATAATAATAATAAAAAAAGGTTTCTTCATGTGTGTAAGTGGAATATCCCATGTTTACATTTGTGCCCATAGCCTCTTGTCCTATCACTGGGCAAGAAAGCAACGTCTCAGCCTTTTACTCCCCCACCAGGTACTTATACACAGTGATAAAGCCCCCTCCGAGCTTTCTTGCTTTCGGGCTAACCATTCCCAGTTCTCTCTCTCCTTGTATGTCACATCCACAGGTAAAGTTTTTTAAGATATACATGGTCTCACAGAATGTTCGTTCAGAATAACTGATGCTGAAATGATTTTAATCCACGCTTTAACCAGATTATCTAGAGCAGTTTCTCTGTTAATATGCTGACCTTCAGTTCTTAAGCCACCTTCTCTTTATGCATGTTTATGCATATTTGGGGGAGGAGGAGGCAGAGTCATGCTGAACAGGTATTTCACCACGTGGGGTTGAATTCATGATTTAAACGGTTCAGAACATAAGCTCTTATTATTATATAGCAGAAGGAGAAACTTAGAGTATTCTTATAAAAATATAAAATCTAACTTTAGTTTTTTTTATTTTTAGGACTCCACGTAGGTTGTATGGTAACATACTTTATGCAATATTTGTAGGGAATTGCGTGTTGAAGGTTCCTGTTGTTTGGTCTCTGACTCTCATAGGGAAATACACAGGCATCAAAGACGCTCCTGAAGAAGGTCATCGGGGGATGACAGATTAGAAATAGGTGCTAATGTCCTTACCTAAAAAAGTTGCAATGGCTTCAACAGCTCCGTTGTAGGCTGCAGCGCTGTGCGAGGGGGCTCTGAAGTCCCACAGCACCTGGATGTAATTGATAACCTGGTTAAAGCCGGCAGTGGCCAGAGCCCACCACAGCGACCAGTACAGGAGTTTCCTAGAGCTGTAGCACTCCCTTAGGTCCTTGCTCAGCTGCACCAGCACCCGCAGGGCCTGGGGCTGGGGCCGGGGCTGGGGCTGGCCAGCCAGCTGCTCGGGCCTTGGCCCCGTCCCTGCGGAGGGAGGGTCCGTGTCCTCCTGGTGGCCTCCAGGCTCCTTGGGGCTGAACATCTCCATCGCTCTGTCTGGTCCACGGCGGGGGGCGCTGCCCCGAGGGTGATGCTGCGGCAGTAGCCGGTCACCCTCTGGTAGTGCTCGGTGCTGACGACGCTGTAGATGTAGGCGTAATAGGCGACCTCGGTGGCCGTCACCATGCCGTAGAAGAACTCCATGAGCTGCATGGCCAGCACGCCGCGTGCAAAGAGGAGCAAGAGCCACGTGACGATGAAGCCGAGGCCCTGCAGGATGATGATGGGCTTGTAGCGCGCGTAGTCTGTAATGAGGAAGACTGGGATAAGGAGTGCAAGGTAGGAGTATGTCCAGACTGGGAAAATCTGGTTTGTCACCTAGAAGGTAAGAAGAAATCTCTGTTTTTTTTTTTTGTTGTTGTTTTGGTTTGGTTTGGTTTGGTTTTTTTGAGTCTTTTGATGATGGTATTGGAACAAAACGAGTTGTGATGACAGGAAGCCATGGTCTGTGCCTGCTTAGATTACCATAAAGTATACAGCAGCAAATATACTCTAAGTAGGTAAAAGGGAACGTTGCAAGACTAACATTACAGAAGCATGTAGACTGGCTTAAAATAAAACCCATTCCAATAGAAGGAGAGATGTGATAAGGAAGTAGATTTTTTGATACCTACTTTTTTAAAGGGTTGTAACAGCTTTTGCTTCTGAGCAAAGGTCTGTCTAATACCTAATTCTATTCTCATCCAAGGTTGCAGATAAATGCCTATTTGTCTTTGTGCATAAATCATTCTTTGATCATCCTGCCTTTTGGTAGAATTAGACAAAAAATCATAGCCTTCTTACCGTAGTGGGTTTGGATCTGTGCATAGTGATTACATAGCTCTTACTGTTAGAAATACCTTATGAATACATGCTTTTCAATATTTATGTGTTAGAAGTAAATACAAGTCCTTGATGGAAAAGTACTTGAAGAAATTTCAGTGGCTGCTCTGAAAAAGAAGTCTGGTTTTCTGGGATCTAATCTGCAGTCATCTTGAACAGTGCTGTGTATTAGTCGCCTCTCAAACTCGGCGTTTGCCTGACCAGCTTTGCCTGCAGCTTGGGTAGGGGTATGGATTTGATTACATGCTGTCAAGGTATCCGCATTCCTCTAGTGACGTGCTCGATGGCTGTGCTGGGGAGGGGCTCTGGCATAAGCAGTTCGACTCCGGCGGTGTTTCAGCAGCTGAGAAAATAGATGGATACCTTTTTCAGAAGAAACTTTAGTTTCCTGCTATGCTAGATGGTTTCTGAATTTGTCAGTGTAGATCAGGAATGACTGCTCTTTGTATTAGGTGTATGTGCCTGTATAAAGCTTTTTTTTTTTTTTTAATTATACCGTTAACCTTGTGACTCAGCTGCTTATTACCCATGCCCCTTTTTGCTACAGTGGGTATTTCTGAAGCAGCCACCACTCCTTGCAGGAGCAGAGCAAGGAAACTTGGCATATATGCTTTTGGGGTTTTTGGGGGAAGGGAAAGTGTGAATCTGACTTGCACAGGCTAATTAATGCGTAGAACAGTCTGGTAATACAGGTGATACAGTAATCTAACAGGTCAGAAGGGAGAAGTCTATAATAGTGAGTTTTCTCACTGTTTTCAATTGTCGCTTTACTGTCCTTGTAATTAATTCCCCAATAAGCATAAATAAATCTCAGTATTGCTTCTCCTGCAGTCCTGGAGAGGGATTAGGTGACCTGACTTAGGTGGCTGAAAGTATCCATTTCTTAAATAACAGTTGAATTGGTTTCAGAGCACTAAGAATGTAGAAACTCCAGTGTTGACTCTCAGCAAAGATCTTTACTTGTAAGCAGAATCTTAAATAAGGTTCTCTAGACAAGTTTTGTCTATTTTCTTGAGCATTTTATCTTCCGTTCAGTTGTTGCTGTACAATTTATTGCTTTAAATATTGCAATTATTGCTCTAGAGAGTGGTTACATACCTCCTCAATTGTTAGGTTTTTGTCTGGTCCAGCTAGGTAAGGAGTGAGAAAGGCTTCCGATGGCCTCATTGTGGAGAAGAATCCATTTGCACAGAGGATTACTGTGGGATAGATCCAGCTGCGGCTGCTGGCTTCCTTGAAGCACTCCATAACCTAACTTAGAAGGTGAAGTAGTGAATCCAACAGGAATTTATAAAGGTCTTCTCTACAATGGGTAAAGATTCATTTGTAAGTTTACATGTTAACTACTGATGTTGCTGATGTTTTTCTTGCCATACTTCCTCATAGTCACACATACAAGTTGTTAATAAACAAGCTGGATCAAAGTACACAGGTGGTGTTGAATTCCAATCTCTGTATCACCTGTCAAGGGTTCTTAGTGTCTGTCAAGGGTTATTCTTAATGATGTACTTAGAGTTAAGTGGATATGTTTTAGTCAAGAAAAGAAACTGCATTACAGCTCCATTTCAGAATGAATGGGTTTGCAAATGGCTTAAAGCTCATTCTCAACGTCCTGGAGAGGACTTTGAATTGCCCCTGGAAACCAAGGGGAACAGCGAGAAGTACAAGCTAGGGACCCATTGTGAGCTGGGTCATCATGTTTATGCTCTGGACACTTGAGTGTGGCGAGGGAAATGTAGAAACCATCTCCTCTTTGGATTTGCTCACTATATCTGCCTAGACTGAGAGGAATCTTGACTTGACTTTTGAAAGTGATCACCAAAAGGGAAACAATGGGACTCATTTACAGTAGATGGCAGTAAAAGAAGTCTAAAAAGACTATTTTTTTAATGTGTTATACTAGTTTACACATTAGAAAGTCCATATTAGAAGTTCCTGGGAAAACAAATGAAACATGAATATCCTCAAGAGAGAAAGCAAAGAAACTAATGAGAGACTGAAATCAAGCTGTTGAAAGCTGTTGTTAAACTATTTGTTTCCCTTTTATAGCAGCATTCTTTAGATAAAATGTCTCTGTAGTGCATTGTAAGAGATAATATTTATTAATACTTGCAGTTTATTGCTGTGTGTTATTAAGGCAGTATCTCTACAACCTTATCAGAAAAAGGCCAATCCTTGCCTTGAATATTGATTTTTAAATGATCACCTCAGAAACTATGACTTGCAAATGATGTTAATCACTGTATATAGAGAAAGTGTTATCCTAACTCTTTAAATCTGCTTTGAAATCTGTTGATATCCGTTAAATCTTTTGCAAATGAAAATATGTTAAAATACAGATGAATAAGCAATGGCAACAGCATATGTATCAACTTGGTTTCATTTTTATGCTACAGATGCTTTTAAATATTCCAGCCTCCAGTTAACGCACGACACCACACGCGCTGGGAAGCTTGGGCTGATGCTGGTGGCACATGGCGCTGCGCGTAGCTCAGCGACCTTCAGGCTCGCTGGGTTTCTTCTGTAGCAGCCTTGCTCGGGCAATAGGGAAATAGGACAGGGATTACTACATACTGTTAAGGCAGTGTTGGAAATGAGCCTAGAAAATGAGCTGGCTTCACGTGAGCAAGTCCCACCAGTTCTTATGATTTAAAAGCAATTACTTCACTTGTGCTTAGTCCCACCTCTGGGCAATTTTACTAGTGACAGGATGTGACAGCTGTACGAAGAGCACAAAGGTCTGGGCAAATGGTAGCTTGTGTCTCTACAATGAAAATATTCTGTAAATGCTGTGTTTTTTTTTTTTCTGTTATTATTCAGAACGGAGTCATTGGAAGCTGGAAACAAATCACACCACAGATTTGACTTGAACATATGGATATATTTTACATTAAATTAGGCATTCACCATGTGCAAACTCATGTATAAAGTCTCTTTGGTTCTGGACTTGCTTTCCTTTGTGCTGGACTAAGTTATAGGACTTAGCCTCTTATTAATACTGAGATGCTGACCCTGCCAAATCCTTGGCTGAGATCAGTAGACCTTCCCTTTGTTCTTGGCAGTCAAAAGTACTCAGATGCTTTTTGATTTTGGTCTCAATCTTCTTGGCTATCCTTGATAGTCTGGAATGTTTTTGTGCGGAAGCAGCCCAGTTCCTTCACAACGTGTTTCACTGGGCTTAGGCTATGCTGTTCAGTCGCTTTTTCTTTGTGTTCTTTTTCCTTTTTTTCCCTTCTCCTCATGTTGAAACAGGAATATGCAAGATCCTGAGTGTAACTTAATGGAAGCACAAAGGATGTGGGTGAGGGTTCATCATTTTTGTTCAGATTATGAAATTTTTACTCCTCTGGGTTGAGATTTTCTATGGATCCAGCACAGATTTCACGTTGCAGCTTCCAAGCCTCAGCCCAGGACTGAGGCTTAGCTGTGTTTCAGTGAAGCTTTTCGGCCCTACTCTGTGAGCCCTCCCTCTCTAAGTCTCTGTGTACGATGTGGGCTTTTGAGTTAGAGGAGAGTTGGTCACCGCATCACCCGTAGTTAGCTAGGAAAGAATATGGAGCAAATGACCCTGTTGTCCTCAGTTTACAGTGAGGTACACACAAAGGGCGAATAGACCCTTCACCCGCCTGCATGAGCAAATCTGCATAAAAGTGGCTGGCCATCAATGCAAGGCAAGGTGAAATATGTGCTTGTTTTGCTTTTTTTTCAGTCATGGCACAGTGGGATGTAAAGGTTGCTTTGCTTTTGTAGATAAGTTATGACCATTACATTATTTATAGGCAAGCAAATAAGACTAAAGCAAGCTGTCTCCGCCGGGCGCTGAGCTCTTCGCGGCTGGTGTGGGCCGCGCTGAAGCGCTGCGCGACTCGGAGCGACTTCTCCCTGCGCGCCAGGCGCTGCCCTCGTGCTGCGGGCCCGGCCGCGCGAGCCGCCCGTCACAGCCGCGTGGTGCAGGTGGCTGCAGCCTGCTGGGCTGGTCCCTGCTCTGCAAGGCTCGGAGGCTCCTTGCAAAATCTCACTGTTTTCCTTTTGCATCCGACTGAGACAAGCACGCAAATACTTCTGAGCAAGAAAATCCCAGCGATGACTGCAAAGTAGCTGCCATAAATTAAAAACTGGAGAGAGAGGGGAGAGGCAGAAAAAAATAATGAAAAACACATGTTATAGAAGTACTGCTTTTTCTGGAGACAATAGACCTTTCATTACTGAGTCTAATCCATGTCCTGGCTCAGTCTCTTGGTGTAGTTCTTTCTTGGAGCAAAATCTTAGCCTTTTCAGCAAACAGCAGGTATTTGAGGGATGAAGAACCATGTGTTGTTTCTTCTAATCCTTATCCCTCTTATTAAACCTCTGAGGGATAGGGACAGGAACAATATTTATTTATTTTCTTTCCACTATTGTTAAATATTGAAGTTGCTTTATTAGCAGCATGTCTATTACCCATGTAATCATGGAAAAAAAATTAAGTGATGAGTCTGAGTTAGAGTCCTGATTTACTTCCCACTTGCACTTTTTATTAGTGTTGCTACGCTGGCCGCTGGTGTTTCCAACGACAGTAGCAAACCTATTTATGAAGCCTCATGCACATTTCAGGCCCTGCTAGCCTTGTTAAGTTGTGTGTTGTGTGAGCAGAATGTCTGAAAGGCTTTAGGTTTCTTCCAGCCTGTGTCCTACCTGAGGTACCACTCGAGAAAATGTAGAAGTTGGGCAATTTCATATTGTCTCAAAACCAGCGTGACTTTTGGGGCAGAGAGGATATTGATGAGGGTCCTGTTGTAGCTAGCAGACGCTGGTCAGGTGAAAGTGCCTGATAATAGGGTTAGGTGCATCTATCTCTAGAAATTCATAGACCAGCATAAATAATCCTAAATACTGTGCTGAAAGGCAAGAGAGAAGAAGGATAATGCACATAATTTACACGAGGGCAAAGCAAGATGCCTATTTTCTACAGAAGGAAGAAGAAATTAAATTGTCCTTTAGAATCGCCTTTTTTAATGTGAATTTTGAGATGTACTTTAATGGGAAATAAATTGAGAGCACTTACCTGAGTCACTATGTCCAGGCCCAGGCCTTTTGAATCCACTACAACAACAGTAATAATGGTCTGAACCGCCAGCGCGAGGAAGTTGTTGAAGCCGAACATCAGTGCGTAGCGCTCCATGCTCAGATTGACAGCGATCTGGAACCTGCGGGGAGGCTGGCAGGTCACTTACACTGCCACCCTAATGGGGCAGAAAGCTGCTGCTCTCCCTTTCATTGCTGAAGAGAAACAGTTGGTACAGATGATAGAGCAAGGACAGAGTGAACGAGGAGCTTCACTTGTTTGCTTGGTCTAAACAATGTCCTGACTAACCTGGGTTTATTTTGATGCTGTTGCACTTGTCTGGGTTGCTTTTCCAGAACATGGTTTTGCGTGATCAGCTTTATCCAGTAGGATATCAGATCTCTATAATTTTTTTTTTTTTTTTAACCCTCTTTACCTTCTGACTGTGCCAGTCCCAGGCAGATGTTCTAGTTGCTGCCCTGTCGTTCCAGCCTGGGCTCTCGTAACGCTCAGTGATTCTCATCAGGTTTCTTCCGAGTGCTTGAACATTGCTTCTCTTGGTGGTCTTGTTTGAGGCTTAGTAATGTCACAAGTTATGTCTTGAGAGGTTCAAGTTGGACATAAGGGGGGGAAATAAAAAGTCCCCCTAGGGAAGCTGCAACATGGGGCCAAATTTCCCCCACATGCTGCGGAGTCCTCCTGGTTGGAGGCTTTCAAGACACAGCTAGACAAAACCATGACCTGATGTGGTGTTGGCAGGAGCTTTGCTCTGGCAGGCATGTAGGGGCTAGATGGTCACAGTGCATGTTTGTTTGTTTTCTCAACAACTTTTCTATGCCTTTGTGAATCACTTCTTGCTTTGTGGTTTGGCATTAGAGGTACTATAAAAATTTTGTTGAGAGCCTGTAGATTTCCTTTCAAGTGTATTTCTTTGATAATGTTGTAAGAACTGTTCTTGTAATGTCTACCTTACTTGCTTCTGTATGAGCAAATGCAGATGTCATTCCTGCAGTATGCCTTGTTTTGTTTTTGTTTTTGTTTTTTTTAAGTATGGCTTTTTTTCCTGATGCTTTTGTTTTTTACTGTAGCCCATAATGCACTGTTAATCCACGAATATGAAAATACATTTTTAGCAGTTCCCTTTAAAATCAGTAGAATTAAAATTTGGAAAAGCTGTAAATTTTGTCAAAGTTTTGACAGAGAATGCACGTAGCATTTTTGTTAATGAAAAGGTATGATGAAATCTTGCACTAGTCTAGAGGCATTCCAGTCAGTAAAATAAGCATGTGAATCTCTGCTGATGCTTATTGGCAGAATGGCTTGCTCTGACAAGAGCCCTTATCTAACTTTAAATTTTAGACATCTTCTCTTCTAATGTTTATACATTAATCCCTAGGTATATTGTGATGTAAACAAAGTTATGTGGGGAACGCTGTAGGCAAACCTTTACCTGGGATCCCACCACTCATAGCCCGTTAGCAAGTGTATTACCATATGGCTTAGATGTAAAGAGATGTTAAATGATGGCTTTCTGGCCTGTTTTTCCAGGATGGTGGTGCATCCTTCTTGTTCGTTCTGCATCTTCTGTGTACTGGGGAACCCGTCTGCACCCTTTGATGTTAGCATTGCCTTTAGTAATAAAGCTGCTTTGTTCCTTGCTTGATTACTGCCCAGGCACCTGTTAAGTGTCCTTGTGATAGGTTTTTCTTTTATGGTTGCTTAGAAGGATGAACCTAATATGACTAGATGTTTAAACGTCATTGTCTTTAAATAGTTGATATGTCTAGAATTCGATCGCCTATCTCAGTAAAATGAGGGGTGCCCCAAGTACACTTTAAATTATACTATTCTCTGCATAAAAGTAGCACTGTGAAGGTTTGTACTTACGTTGCTATTGTTATAAGGAGCATATAGCATGCCTTGAAAATGAGGTAGCCAGCATAGCTAGCCCAGATGTTGGCAGTAAAGTGCATCAGGAATAGACAACCAGCATCCATTGTGGAGAAGATCCCCAAAGCCAGTTCTCCAAAAAGATCCCAGTTCATTTTCATATATCCAACTGCTAAAGATGTTATTGCACCTAGAACAAAGTGGAAAAACATGCATTGAAACATTGTACAGCTAAGTTCTGACACCCTCATGTTTCAAAAGCCAACACTGAAAAATTAAGCAGAGTAGTTCTAGAGTACCTGAATAGCCATTTTCAGTGTCTTGCACAATTTAGAAACTGCTACTCTCCATGCTAACAATTAGGTTAATTCTAAGAATAATTAATCAATGAGTTGGCAATGTAGGAATCTGGTGTTTCTGACGCATGATCTGGGAGATTTATATTAGTTGCCTATCTTGATGAGATTACTGTTAATGGTTCAGAGGAAACAGATACTTGTAAGAAGGGGGGGAGGATCGCCAGCTCTGACGCAGACACATCCATCTGTCTGGGTTGGTCACACCCCAGTGTCTTGTGCAAGTCATCTACAGCAGCACAATCTAAATATGTGAAATGCCAAATCAGGGCAGTATCCTCTGACGTTCCCTTTGGATATCATTACGTTATTTATAATGGGTGGACAACTGCTTCAGGTGCAAAAGCATAATGGTTAACATGACTAATTTAATGAGTACTTTTTTCTGCAGACCTCAGTATCTTTGGATGATTTGCCCCATTTCTTTGCCTCACGCTGTGCAGGAGTATTTCACTAGAGAAAGACCATAACGAGAGGTTTATGTTTATGGAAGACTCCCCTGATCTTTGCAAGTTAATACCATTGCCCTGGAAAGCATACTAATGCTTATCTGGGAAAAAAGATAACCTTGGCAAAAGAAGCATTGTTGTCTTTGGATTTAGCAACTGGATGCAAGATTCATGTGACTTGCCCACTCTTTGTGGGCTGACAGATTTTGCACATCCAGAAGACAACTTGAACATACAAAGATCTACAAAGATACAAAAGTTTTTAAAAAGAAATCTAGAAACTGCCTTTGTGATAGACACTGTCTTGTTAACTTACTTAAAAAAGTAGCAGTGGCTTCGACTGCTCCGTTGTAGACTGCAGCGCTGTGCGAGGGGGCTCTGAAGTCCCACAGCACCTGGATGTAATTGATAACCTGGTTAAAGCCGGCAGTGGCCAGAGCCCACCACAGCGACCAGTACAGGAGTTTCCTAGAGCTGTAGCACTCCCTTAGGTCCTTGCTCAGCTGCACCAGCACCCGCAGGGCCTGGGGCTGGGGCCGGGGCTGGGGCTGGCCAGCCGGCTGCTCGGGCCTTGGCCCCGTCCCTGCGGAGGGAGGGTCCGTGTCCTCCTGGTGGCCTCCAGGCTCCTTGGGGCTGAACATCTCCATCCATTGAGGTAGAAGTAGGAGATGGGGCCCAAGGAAACGAGAAGCTGCCCCAGCACTGCAGCGACGGGGGCTGCCACGAGGGTGATGCTGCGGCAGTAGCCGGTCACCCTCTGGTAGTGCTCGGTGCTGACGACGCTGTAGATGTAGGCGTAATAGGCGACCTCGGTGGCCGTCACCATGCCGTAGAAGAACTCCATGAGCTGCATGGCCAGCACGCCGCGTGCAAAGAGGAGCAAGAGCCACGTGACGATGAAGCTGAGGCCCTGCAGGATGATGATGGGCTTGTAGCGCGCGTAGTCTGTAATGAGGAAGACTGGGACAAGAAGTGCAAGGTAAGAGTATGTCCAGACTGGGAAAATCTGGTTTGTCACCTAGGAGGAAACAGAAGAAACACCTGTTATTGATTTAGAGGAAGGGAAAATCATTTTTTGGAAATAGCTTTGTAGAGGGTAGTTTTTTCTATGAGAGAATGAATAAAATATACAACTTCACTGGCCTGAAGTACCTTATAGTCAGCAGCAACAGAATCTTATTTTTTTACAAGTTCTGTTAATATGTATTTTAAGTCTTTTTTTTTATGTCACCTGCAGCACATTGTAACTTGCTTTTTATCTTTGATTTTTTTTTGTCTTTTGGTGATTCATTTAGAAAAAAAAAAAAAAGTAAAACCATACCTCATCTATGGTCAGGTTTTTGTCTGCTGTTAGGTAAGGGGTTAGAAAAGGTTCCGAAGGCTTCATCGTATAGAAGAATCCATAGATGCAGAGGACTAGCGTGGGAAAAACCCAATTGCTGCTCTTCTCTTGCTTCCAGCAGCCCATGACCTGTGCAGCAAAGCTGAGGAGAGAACAAGTTCTTATTGTACTTCTTGTGCAAGCAGAAAGATGCTCTGTAATTGATCATTTCATGACTTCCAGCGTTAAAGAGCACTCTTTAGTTGGCCATGGGAAAGTATTCTTCTTTAAGTGAACAGGTTTGTGTGTATCTGTCATAGCTTCTATGTGTTTATGGATGGTGACTTGGAAGGTTTTTAGTGGGGAGATGAATTGTGCTCTTGTTCTGCATGGGCCAAGGTAGCAACTGGACAAGCCCTTCCAGGCAAGAGTCAGTGTGGTCAGCTGAGTAGCAGTACCTCACTAGACACAACAACTGAGCACTGCCTTGTCAAGTGAGGAGCTAGTAGCTCCCAATTACCAATCCCCTCCTTGGCCTGCTTGTTGTGTATGGCATCCCTGCGAGCGGAGACACGGGAGCAGCAGCTGAGCCCAGCAGGGGCCAGGTCCGCACCGTGTGCAGGCAGATCCAGCCAGATCCTCACCTGGCATTTACTGCCTTGCATTCATCAGAAAGCCAGTTTGGACACAGGCTGGTTTCAATTTCTGAAAAACACTTGTGGTGACTAAAGGTAACAGCTCGCCCTGGAATGAAATGAAGCAGTTATTTCTTGTTCTTTTCTCCAACTGAGGCTTATGATTTAAATTAATGCTTGGTTTAACTCTGCTGGACTGAGGGAAGCCTGAATGGGAATAACAAGGTGCCTGCAGGGGAAACACAGAGAAAGGAACTTGGACTCCACGTTTATGTTGGTGTCAAGTGCAAGGTGCAAAGTTATTTAGGATGTGGTATATATGTAAAATAAGAGAGCAGCAATTTTGCCTCTTTACTTACAACTTCATGCTGATATAGAGTTGCTAACAGCCTGATGAACTAAGAAGTGGATATGAAGATATGGGCTTACTGGTTTAAATTAGATGACTTGTATCTTTCATTTTGTGCATGACTTGTGAACACCCGGCAGGCAGGAATGAAGGTAGCTCTGTCAGCTCTGCAGAGGGAACCACTAGAGGGCAAGATGAGCTCAGCAGTGGAAATAACATATCAGGTTGGGATACCAACAGGGCGATCAAGGAATGAGGTGCTTCTGCTTCTCCTCCCTTCCCTGTTATTGCAAAAACTTCTGCTAAGTGCACAGCTTCACCTATTATGGCCCTGCCCGATCTTACAGCCAGGCACTGTAACATCCCCTTGCTCTTCTCTCACGTGGTGATCATTAAGATGTTGCAGCATCCCAATGCCATGCGAAAGCACACGGATGCATCCCCTGGTATGAGGGAGCTACAAGGAAGTGGAAGGAAGGGGGGAAAGTGTCTTTAGTGCTTGAGTGAAGAACCTGGACAAGAGCGAGCTCTTGCTCGTGCAGGCTGGGCTCTCGGGCTGCGCTGGCCCGGGCTGTTGGAGGTGTTGTCGTGCTGGCTGTGCGTGACAGGTCTCGCAGCAACGCGCTCTGCGCGTCCTCCCAGCCTGGCCCGTGTGTCAGCGCGCTGGCACAGCACGGCCTGACGGGGCTGCTGGGTATCGTGGTGCTCCCGGGCACTCACAGGGCACCTGCAATGCTGCCACCTGAGGGGGGCTGTGCCGTCGAGGGCAGTGATCTCCGTTTTGAGCTATGTACAGAAAAGCTTTAAATTCACCCCCAGTGAAAATATCCCTGTAGTTGCAGTGCACACACTACAGCTGCAATGCTTGTTTCTCTCCTGCTAGGAACATACCTCTTTTCAATAGACCTGCTCTTGGGGGCTGGCAGGTAAACCTAGGTTTAAGCAGCCGTGCGGCCAACGCGGGCAGCGGTGCAGAGCTGGGCAGCCCAGGGAGCGGG